CTATCTCCAGGCCAGCAGGGAAACTTCCGATCACCCAGAAGGCAGGCCCCGAAGCGGAGCTCTCCCTCAGCAGTGTCACGTGCTGGTTCTGGCGAGCTACACCTAGTGCCACGAGCCAGCCTGGCTTTCTCAGGGATTGGTTAGGGAGGGCAGTCCTTCTACCCCGAGACGGATTTTCAGCTTAAGACTCCAGGCATCTCTGGTGGCACTGTAACCACCGTTGGGCTCTGGCTGTTCCCCGGCAAGGAACTGGGGGTGCCAGGGGAAGCTGATCTAGTGAAAGTGAGCAGAGGGATAATGGAAGGTGCTGGATCGACCCTCCTGGGGCCCAAAATCTTCAGGGTACAGCCCTTGTAGTAGCAGGGAGAAGCTTACGCATGCACCGGGATGGGGTCCCCCAAAGCGCTCTGAGATCTGCTGGTCAGAGCTGTGTGTGTGTGAGTGAGAGAGAAGGACAGGAGGAGCTCAGGTTCTGTAGCCCGTTTAGCCCTTCCCCGCTCCAGGAGGTGACTGGCAAGTCTGGCCCTCTGGGGTGGGGGGGCCTGTCAGCCTGCCATTGGATGGCGGTGCTGGCCTGGCTGCTGCTGAGCTCACTCAGTTTCCAGCTGGTGACCTCCAGGTGAAAGGCTCCTCACCTGCTCTCCTGCAGGAGCCCGCCAACCCCGGCCAGCGCTGAGTTCGGAGTCTGAAGAAGTGCTCGAGTGGCCGTGAAGTGATCGCATCCCCTGAGGCTCCAAGGCTCGTGCTGCCTGGCTTCTCCTCACTTACTTCTAAAGGTCGCAGGGTCAGTCTCACCGCCGTCCTGGCAGGCGAGAGCTGGCGTGTGTGAGCAGGGACGCTGCCTGCCCGGACATCACTTTGCTCTCTCTCATTGCATGTGGCTGCCCAGTAAAGTCACCGAATCCCAGGGTGGGTTCCAAATGCCTCGAGCATTTCTTGTGCTAAGGGGCGTAATGCTCCCCAGGGGTAAGCTGATCAGCTCCGCTCTCAGGATGCTGCCGGACGTCGACACTTTCCACTGCTTGTTCTTGTCCCTGAGGAGCGTGTGTGGAACCCTGGGCTTTGATGGCACTTATTGCGGAGCGGTGAGGACGGGTCAGGTGACGGGTCGATCCGAGCCGCTCTTAGATTGCAAACTCCTCAGGGAAGAGACTTTGGGGGAGACATTTCGGAAGCATCTAAATGAGTGAGGAGCCAGCAGGAAGGTCAGTGGGACTTTGGCTCATAAGTGACTTTGACCCGTCTGAAAACCTTACCCTGTGTCATCTGATGGGGGCATTCCCAGACCCCTGTGGCCTTACACCGAAGACAGCTGGAGAAAGGTTTAGTTTTCTCCCTCTGGGTCAGAGCCAGCCATGGTTTATCTGCAAAGGTCTGGTCTGTCTCTGCTGTTCTCTTGGCTCCAGCTTGGTCTGAGCATGCGGCAGTCACAAATACAGGTGATCTAGTCACTGTTAAAGGCATATGATGTTCGCCGGAAGGTGGATCCTCACCGTTGTGCCGTGTCCCACAGTGCTTTCCACCTGCGGGCTCCGAATCGCTCCCAACTCCTCAGAATTGTTGGCATTCCCCAAATGGTTTCTCTTGGCGGGTGTACCCGCGCCAGCTGGCAGTTTGCAGGCTTTGTGGCCACTCTGAGAACCTGTGGGACCCTACAGAAATTCCAGCCCTTGATAATATGGTTGTTAATCTGCTAAGATTTACGCTTATGCTGGAACTGCATCTTGTCTCTAGCTAGAGCCACAGCGTTTGCTCAGTCCTGGGCTCCAGGCTCTTCTCGGAGGAACATTGTTTTTTAGCCTCTCCTTGCCTTGGCCTGCGGCCCTGGGATGGAGGTAATGTTACCTCCTGCGCTTGGAGATGGCCAGGTGAAGGGCATGTTACTGGTAGGTGAGGATCCACGTTTGCTGTTCGTCTGACCGGCGCTGCTAGTGGAATTTAAGAGGAGGGCTGCGTGGAGCTCTGGACTGGGACTCAGCAGACCTGGGTCCTGTTCTAGCTCTGCCGTTGGCCCACTGCATCACTGTGGGCGAGCCACTTCCTGTCCCCGTGCCTCAGTTTCCCCTCTACGAACAGGGATGATGCTACTTTCCTTCTTTGTAAAGAGCTTTGAGCTCTCTGGATGAAAAGCTAGGGGTTCTTATTAAATCAAAGCGAGCCCAGCCAGGCTGTGGGCTTGACGCCACCTCTCTGCCAAGCTCCAAAGAAGTCGTTGGTGGGGAAAACAAGAGGCGCGAATGGGCGCTTCCAGGAAGTCAGTTCTTCTGCCAAGGGTGCAGTAAGCCACCGGGCTGTTGGTCTGGCCTGTTTCACCCACACATTGTTCATTATAAACTATTCCCCGGGGGGTTTCTCGCAGACCGACAGGACGCCTCTAACGAGGTCACTCAGGGAAAGGGTTACGTTCTGGTGCCAACAGGATCCTCTGAAGTCGTCTGGGCAAGGGGGTGGTTCCTTTTGGAAATCGATTCTCTCCATATGCCACCAGGTTCACTTTGTTTGCTGTCCCCTAATCACATGGCTCTGTCTTTCCAGCTGCCGTCCATTCGCCTGCGTTCTAGCCTATTGCAAATACCTTTCGCCTTGCGCGGGAGGAAGACCCGGGTATGCGTTCACAGCCTCGCACTTGCGCTGCGTGGGAGCATCTGGGGTCAGCAGCTGCAGTGGCTTCTCTCTCTTGTCTTATGCCGAGACAGGGCCCTCTGTGCCACAGGTCACAAGACGGGAAGATGCTGTTATTGCTGGACCTTTAGCACTGTTATGTAAATGAGTGAAATCCAGTTGCAACGCTGGCTTTGTTTGTTAGCTAGGATTGCAATCATAGTTCTGTATAAACTTGTCTGCTGGGGTCAGAGTGATGTCGTCTTTCTCCCAGTCTTGTTTCTGTTCAGTTTTGCCAATGAAAATACATGTAGATTAAATCATCTTATTTGTGCAGGGTTTATTTAGCTCAGGCCTGGAGCACGCAGGGAGAAGTGTGGCATTTCTGTGGCCGCATGCAGCCCGCGCCCGGCCCGCTCGCTGTCTGCTGGTGTGTGGACCATAATTCTCTGACGTTCCGTTCTGTAAAACCGGGGGACAGTCGGCGCATCGAACTGGAAGCTTGAAGCGCTGGAGTCCGGCCCTTTGGCCGCCGCCCGCTCAGGCCTTAGGCCAATCCCTTCCCAAACGCGCTGGCATGTCTCCTGCTCTCTTTGCCTGTGTCCAGGGTGCCTCACTCAGGAGTTTGGCAGATCTGTTTGAAAAGCCCCTGTGATTGCCGCGGGCTAAATATTGCTGAAGTGCCTGTCGGGTATTTCCAAATGGGCGCAGCCGCCTGCTTTGTGTACGCCCACAGGCTGGCCTGGCATTGGGTCGCAATATTACACGTTGCCTCTTGGGCATTTGCCAGTTTGGTCTTACGGGGCGAGCTTTGGTCCCCTGGTCTCCAACCTCAGTTACCCCAGTGGCTGTTCTGGGCGAGTCCAGATGTGTGGGCTTCGCTCCCGAGCGGGAGGACAGGCTGCAGAGATGGGAGCAGAGAGAGCTCTGGCCAAGCGTCTGGGCTGGTCAGATCTCCGAGGAAAACAGGGCAAGTAGGATCCCTTCTTCAGCCCGGCCAGCAGAGAGCGGGCGACGCATGTCCGTGATAGGGCACGAGTGAGGAACCCCAGTTCCCGAGAGGGCACTCGGGTTGAATAGGAGAGCTGGCTAGGGGGCAGCATGCCCGAGCTCCAACAGGTCTTCAACACCAAGGAACTCTTGGCAGGCGATCTGACCTCTTCCGCTGAATGGGCTGGAGCTTTCTGGGGCCCTGTCCTGGCTCCACTTGCTCCTATTCAGGCGGCCCTGGACCAAAGCAGACCGCCAGCGGCGTGACGTTTCACCCTTCGCGTCTCCACATGAACTTCCCTCTGCAATTTCCCGTCCCCAAATGGCAGCAGGGACGTGGGAGAAGCAGGATAGCGAGGCCCGCATGAGGAGCAGCTGTTTTGTAAGGAAAGGGGACAGTGAGCAGCACAGCGGGTGTTGAAAATTAGCGGGGTGTTCTGTGATTGGCCATTCCTGAGTGGTTCCAGGAAAGCACGGATATGCGAGGGCATCAGAAATAGCCAGGGTAGATGGGGCAGCTTTACACCCTGCAACGCTGGGAGAGCCGCCTTTCTAGTGACCTGAAGTTTTATTTCAACCCTTGTCTCTGTTCATTCTAGTCCTGTCGTTCCGATGACCATCGTGCGTACTTTTCCTACTTCAGTCCTGCTGTTTGCCGGGGCTGCTAGCTTGGGCGGAGCTAGGACTGAAGCAGAGCGTGTGAACTCCCCGGCTTTGGCGGCTCACGCTGCGTGGTCACTCAACCGGGCGAGGGAGCCTGTCACGCTTTGATCGCTGATGTGGGGGGAGAGGATCCCTCTGCTCCACCAGCCCGGTGTCGTGCTGAGTTGAAAAGGCATGTCCAAGGCATGGCATGGGGAGGAAGGCCCAGGCCCAAGCCCAAAGTGACTGGAGACCCAGGAGCCGGCCCAGGCCCAGGCCCAAAGTGACTGGAGACCCAGGAGCCGGTCCGTGGAAGCCTGGGGTTGTGCCTGTACGTTTTTACCTTCCTGCGCGGGTCTCGTGACCCTACACCGCACCGGGCTCCAACCTGGCCTAGGGAAGCGCCCTTTCGCGGGTTCGAGTGGTACAGCTGCCTCTCCTGGAGCACCCTGATTTCCCTGCCTCGCCACTCCATCGTGGAGCGAGCGGCCGCGGCTCCCCGGCCGAGCGTTCAGCGCGCTGATCCTAATGGCCGAGCTCCTGCAGTGCGGGGCCCTGGCACTGGGCCGGGCGCTGCAGGGCTCCTGGGCTTGCTGGAATGACAATAGATCCAGCAGGCGTGCCGAGCGGCCTGGCAACTCCCGGCACTTGGCGCTCCTCGCGCACCGTCACTAGTGGTCTGTTCCCAGAGCCGGGCTGTGCTCGAGAGGGAGAGGGCTTGGCAAGGGGTGCTGTCGGCAAAGGTGTCAAACCCTGGGCTGGGTGAGCCCTGAGCTCCCCCTTGGGGAGCAGTGCAGAGGCCTGGATCTGGAATCAGCGCTGGGGTGGTTCAACCCGGTTGCCAGCAGGAGTTTTCCTGACCAGCCTGCACAACGGACACTCCTCCGCGCCCGAGCGGAAGTGATGGCAAGCGCTCTCGGGCAACGGTCCTGGCTCTGTGCCAGCCACAGCCTCACCTGTCCAGCGTGGGCCCCGCGGGGTTCCAAGACTATCCCTAGCCCTGCCGCCTCCAGCCGCCCCCTCTCTGCCCGTCAGCTGCTGCTCCTGCCTGCCGCCCCGCAAGTCCTGTCAGGTGACGTGGATTAATTTTTCTCCAGCTGTTTGTTTTGTAAGGGCTCTTGCCTGTGGAGCATGTGTGTTTTCCCCGCCAGCGTCTTTGATCTGAGCATGTGCGATTAGTGCCTCTTATCTCCAAGGCTTTTGATCACCTGTGATGGTAGCACATGGTGCTGCGGGGAGATAAGGGTCGCTGGAAACAGAGGTAAACACCTCGCTGGCTGCCTGAGCAGGGTAGCTGGGCTCTCCCTGCAAACAGGGCTCTGATCCCCAGGGCCTGTGTTTACGGAGACCACATCCATGTAGCGGGGGAGTTTTTAATGATACCCAGTGTGGGGGCAGTTTCCTACTGATACTGCCTTTCTGTCTTCACGGGAGAGCTGTGTCTGTGCACGGCGCGGAGAAGAGGGCACTGGGGGACCAGAGGAAGGGCATCTCCGATCACCCCCCCCTTGTCTGCCTTCTTGGTTTGGTTTGTAAGCTCACGGGGGCAGGCACTGGTGTGAAGACTCTCGCTGCCGTGTGCTCAGTCCTGTGGGTGGAGGGGGGCGGATTCGGTCCCCGTGGCGAGCGACACTGGATCTTTAGTGGTGGCGTTCGTGGGAGCTCCATCCACAGCTTTGTCTGGACCATCCAGTGAATTCTGCGATGGCAAATGGCCTCTTTTCTTCTACAGACGCTCACTGCGCCCACAGCTTGTCCTGCAGCGGGCACCGTTACCCTGGTTCCTTGTCCTGCCCTGCAGAGGTGGCTGGGAGCTGGGGCACCAACATGAACGAAGTGTCAGTCGTCAAAGAGGGCTGGCTGCACAAGAGAGGTAAGGATCCCACCCGAAGGTGGTGCGTGTTGGGGGCACACAATCACACCAGCCTAACTAAAGGTGGGATTTTAAACCGGTGCAGCTTTGTGTGTGGACACTCTGATAGGGTTTAAACTGGCCTATGCTGGTTTAGTTTGCACTGTGAATTGTTTTAAACCGATGTAAGTGTGGCTACGCAGGTATTTGTACTTGCTGAACTAATCTGGTTTTTGAACTGCTGCAACTTGTCTGTGAACCCAAGCCCTAGCTGTTTGCATCGCGGCTTTCAGCGGCTGCAAGCCTTTTCTGAGCCCTGCAGATAAGCTTGCTGTAATCCTGAAAGAGGAGAGTGCAGAGACTGCTCGCCCAGGGTAGCAGGGCTCCTGCAGCTCTCCTCTGACCCGCTGACTCCAACAGCAGGTAGCTTGCCCCCCTTGCTGTCCGTGGGCAGCTCCTACGGGGCGTCCAGCACTCTGAAAGCCAAGCTGTAACTGCAACTGAATGACAGGCCAATGTCCTGCCTCCTCTCCTCGGACCTTCTGGCCTTCCAGCCTCTCCGTCATGCCTCGGGCAGGAAGTCTCCTTCCGGAGCAGCTTCTGCCATGGGCAGATCCGGGGCGATTCCTTGCCATGCTGTGCTGAGGGATTGGGGTGGCTCCAAAGGAAGGTGCAGCCTCTGGCTGCAGGAAGGCAGCGCGGGGCAGAGGCTCTGTGCTCCCTGGTGGAGAAGGGGAAGCTGTTTGAGGGCTGTGCCTGGCTTAGTGGCATCTTTTCGGCTTCGGGGCACCGTGGGCAATTGCCCCTTGCAGCTGCCGGAGAAAAGGAAGGCTCTGGTCACTCAGCTGCCCAGCCTCCCCTTTCCCTGCAGCACACAGAGCCCCGGAGGAGCGTGGGGTGGAAGGGCACTCAGACAGGAGCCCTGCCCGAGCTGGGCCCAGGCTGTGCCCCGCCTGGCTGGGCTGCATTTTCTGAAGCTAGGGCCTGAGCCGAAGAGAGCAGGAGTCTTTCCACTGGCTTCTGTGGGCTTGGGAGAGGCCCTCGGCTCGGTCTGACTGCAGCATGCGCAGGGAGCTCTGTCCCGGGCCCTGGTTGCAGCGCGGTTAGAGCCGTGTGCCAGTGGTCAGGCTGAGGCCCAGTTTGCCCGTTTCCCTGGCCAGCGCGGACAAAAGATTGTCTCTGAGACCCATGGTAAGTGTCTCAGCATGTGCCCGGAGCAGGGCTTGCTGGCGTCCCTCGCACCCCGGAGCAGGGGCTGGAGAAGTGGTGTGGCTGGCATGGCTTCGCTCCTGGAGCTGCCAGGCATGTCCTCCAGGCCAGCATCTCTGCCCTCCCCTCCTGGGTGGCTCTGCGCGAGGACCCCAGGCCAGCGGTCGCTTTTATTTTTAGCGTTCTAGAGTGCAGGGGCCGTGCAGCAGCTGCGCAGGGGGTTATTTATAGAGACGCGGAAGGTGGGCCTGTATTTTCCTTGGTTGCTGAGCACTTTCGGGAGCAGGCGCTGGAAGCCCTGCAGCTCGGACACATCCTGGCTGGCTCCCATTATTCCAGTGGCGTGCCCAGGGCTTCTGGGTCTAGCAAATGTCTCCTCTCTGCCAGGGAGAGAGCAGGGGGTCAGGATTCAGTGCTATTTCTGTACGTGGCATGGTGTGCCAGGACCAGGGGCTGAGGCTAACTGTGTGAAGCCACATCCCTTAAAACAGCCACAGAGCCGGCCGCTTTTGGCCATGGCTGCCGCTTGAGCTAACGTATCGGCTAACGTCCGGGAAGGGACCTGGGAGCCAGAACTCCTGGGTCTGTTCCCAGCTTCACCACTCTCCCTCTGTGAGCCTTCGGCAGGTCACTTCACTAGCCTGCCTTTGGGTGGGCTTCCCTGGGAAATAAGACTGTTTACCTGCCTTACTGGGATTCACAGGGCCCCAAAGGAAAAAGCAGGTGTTTGGAGGTTCCCCAGAGGTTAACCCTGAAATACCTTAAAGGACCCTCATTTCATCACTAAGGATCTGTCTCAAGTGTTGGCCCAGCGTGGCCGGCGCGGAACCACTCCCACCCTTGGGAGGCCCAGTGCCGCGGTCTCAGTGTCCTTGGCTCTGTGCGAGCCTCTTGCCGCTAAAGCCCCAAAGTGGCTGTGGGGAGCTGAGAGCACTGTGGGCCTTTGAGTCTCTGGAGCGTCTCCAGTGAAATTCGGTGGTTTGTCCCTTCGCTGGCTCTTTACTGCGCCCGGGCCTTGCCGAGAGCAGGGCAGTGGCTCGGGTGCTGAAGTCGGGGTGGGAGCTGGTTTGAAGCAGGCTCTGTAGGGGACAGAGCGAGGCGTGAAATAACACCAGGCATAATTCGGTTTTGTTCCAGGGGAGTACATTAAAACATGGAGACCCAGGTACTTCCTTCTGAAAAGCGACGGCTCTTTCATCGGCTACAAGGAGCGGCCCGAGACGTCTGATCACAGCTTGCCACCTCTGAACAACTTCTCGGTCGCAGGTGCGTCTGCCGGCTAAACCCGGAGGTGCAGGGGGACCCCCAGGGACACGTCCGTGTCTCTCCCCAGCAGATGCACGTCCCCCTTCTCATGGTGCCCATGTCCCCTCTGAAGCCAAGAGGAGAGTTCAGTCTCCAGGAGCTTTGGGCCATGGTGCCCGACATTAGTACCCCGCGAACGGCTTGTCCAGCAGCTGTGTTCCCCTCTCTCGCTGTGGGGCTCTGAGGTGACCGCCCCGGAGCGCTGTCTGGCAGCCTGCCCCGCTGTCGCTCGGGGGAGAATAGCAACCGGCTGCCCAACACTCGTGTGTGGGACTAGTGCGGATTTAGTCCCATAGTGTTAGCACCGTTGAGAGCCCTGGTGTGGACGGGCTGCCGGCTGCCATCTTTGAAAGGAAGCTGGCACCCTGCAGAGGTGGCACCGGGAGGTGGCTGGCGCCAGGCCCCGGGTGCTGCATGTGAGGCCGACAGGCGGCATTTAAAAATGCAGGGTAGGGATTTTAATGGGATCCTGCGCTGAACAGGGAGCCAGTGCAGGAGGTTCCAGGTTAGCAAAGGGGACCTGGTCTCAGAAATCGGGGCAGCCTGCACTCCGCCCACACCCACTCCCCCTCTGCCCCCAGAATGCCAGCTGATGAAGACGGAGCGCCCCCGGCCAAACACCTTCGTCATTCGGTGCTTGCAGTGGACGACTGTCATCGAAAGAACCTTTCATGTGGACTCTCCCGACGAGCGGTAGGTGCAGCTCCACACACTCCCGTCTGCGTCACGGGGCGCCCGCCTCCTCCAGGCCACCACGCAGCACAGGGCCTGGCGGGTGGGGGGGGCAGGCTCCCTGGGAACTTAGCTCTTTGTCTTCAGATTCCTTGGCAGCCACCTGCCAGCCAGCCCTCCCAGACCTGCTGAGAGGCAGATGTTCTCCCCACATCAAGAGGGGAGAGGGGGGCAGAGGGAGAAGGGTGTGTCCACCCTAGACCCCCGCAGACCGACATCAGGGACTCCCTGCATGCTGGGCGTGGCACCGAACAGCTCTGGTCTGAACAGAGGGTGGGAACGGGGATGTGAAGTATTTCGGTGCCAGGCAGGAGCGTTCACGTGATCCTCCCCTGGAAGGCCAAACTAGGGGCCTCCGGCTCCAGGTGGGCTGTGCCTAGCTGATATAGGGGAGGAGATGGAACTCTGTCTGGCTCTCTGTACCCCAGGACCCGCAAAGACCCCCTTCGTGGCAGGCTGGAATTTCTCTCGCGAGTCCTGCTAGAGGTGCCTGGCTGTGAGCTCCTTGCCCCGCAGCCTCTGCTGCCCTGGGAGCTCTGGCGAGGTCAGGCAATGCCAGCTGCCACCCGGACAGGCGTGGGACCTGCAGCTCATGTGCACTGGCTCCATTGAACGGAAGGGAATGGAGCGGTAGCGAGCAGGTGCGCTGGTAGGGGTGGCCCCATGCACGCCCGCCCTCTGCCCAGCTGCTGGCGTGGAGGTGCCCAGGTCATGGGAGCCGCCACGGGAACTAGCAAGGAGCCTGAGGGGCGCAGGCGTGGCCTGCCTTGAAGCGTTGCATGCTGGGACAGCAGGTCCCCTGCCCCTCGTGTGTGGGGGGGTGGGATTAGGCCTTTTGACCTGGGACCTGGTTATGCGTGGCCAGCAGCCGCAGTGCAGAGCAGGTGTGTGACGCTCTCCTTGCACCAGAGTGAGGGGTGCCAGGAGGCGCTAGGTCGCGGGGAATTGAAGCAGGCTGAGCAGCTGATCTGACAGACCCTCCCCCACCGGCAGGCGCTTCGTCTGGGGAACCCCACTGATGGCTCGGTGACCCTCGGGCACTGGCCGAGTGGGCACCCTTAGCTGGTTTGGCCTGGCTGCCCTGTGTGGCTTCCCGGCTCCCGCTCAGCCTTGTGAGCGAAGCTGGGCTCTGGCAGGGGCTCCTGGCCGGAGGGGGAATCGTGGTGCACTGTGTTCACCGCTCGAGTTCTCCTCGGCTAGTTCCCAGGGGCTCCCTGTCCCCCTCGGGACCAGGGGGTCTCTAGGCAGCAGTGAGAAGAGCTGCTTGCTCTGAGCACAGCATGTCCTCACGCCAGGGGCCTCTTGCAACCAGAACAAGTGGGAAGTTTTGTGTTTGTGCTAATTGCAAAGGTCCGCTCCGAAGTGAGGCTGATGGGTCGCGCTGGCAGAGTGCGAACCGGGGGTGAGGAGGCCCGGGCTGAAATCAGTCAGGGCAGCGCTGGGACCCGGGGTCACTGCTGTGGGAGGAGGAAGCGCAGAATCCGAGCTGCCAAGACCCGGCCTGCTCAGAGGTGCTGACGCACCCGTCCATCCCTCGGCTCCTGCCGTGTTCTCCCCCTGCAAGCAGCAGTGCAGCTGCCTGGGCCCTGCTGCGGTCCTGACCCCTGTGCTCACCGCAGGGAGGAGTGGATGCACGCCATTCAGACCGTCGCCAACAGCTTAAAGAACCAAGAGCCCGAAGAAGACACGATGGATTACAAATGCGGCTCTCCCACCGACACCACTGGGGCTGAGGAGATGGAAGTGGCCGTGACCAAGACCCGGGCGAAAGCAGTAAGACGGCTGGCGTGTTGAGGTTTCTCAGCGGGGGTGGGGGTCGTGGTTTCGGGGGGCAGGATGGGAAGGAGGTGGGGGACCCCAAACCTTGTTTCGGCTGTACTGTGAGGTCGCAGTCTGGGAAAGGTCAGAACCTTCGCGACGCTGTTCCTGTTTTCATTCGTTTGCTCCAAGCTGCTAATGTCTCCCGGCCAAGTTCTCCTGTGCGCTCTCTGAGAGCCTGGGGAGGTGGGATGGCGGGTCACTCCAGCTAGGTCCCTCACAGGGGCTGATCTCTCAGGACACCCGTCCCCTGTGACAGAAACGCACTGTGATTTCTTTCCCCCGGGCTGCATGTGGTTCACAGCACTTGTCTGAAACCACTTCCCTTCCGTTTTCTCTGGCCAGTCATCTTCTGTCAGCTCCTGGGGGTCTTCTTCTGTGGGGAGGGGGAAACCATTGACTTTTTCCTGTGATTTCTGCAAGCCCCTCTCCTAGCCACTACATTGCATATTTGTCTGGAACAAGAGCCTGCTCCGCAGGGAAGTGGGAGTCGTGGTGTTTGAGGTTGGCCGTTGTGCACAGAAGCACACAAGACCATGGTTTAAATTGCCAGGGTGAAACTGCCCCCCATGCGCGCCAGAGGGCTGGAGTGGGCCATAGCTGGGTGTCTTGACCTCATGCTGTTCTTCTACCCAGGCCGGAACCGTTTTTAGAACTAGCTACCCCGGCGGGAGAACCCCTCGGTTTTCGATAGGCTCGTCGGTCGGCATTTCCCCACCTTCCAGCCATCCCATGCCGCAGCGTTAACCCTCCCCCCGTCTGCCTTTCTCCCTAGACCATGAACGATTTCGACTACCTGAAACTCTTGGGGAAAGGCACCTTCGGCAAAGTGATCCTGGTGCGGGAAAAGGCCACTGGGCGCTATTACGCCATGAAGATCCTGCGGAAAGAAGTCATCATCGCAAAGGTACGCGGGGCCGTTCGGGGAGGGAAGGGTCAGCGCGGAGGGGCTTGGGGGCCTGAAACAAGGTGTATTCCAAACCTGCAGGCGTGTGCTGTGCATGCTGTTAGGTAACGTCATCCTCTGCCGTTTGTGGCTCGCGGTCCGTCTCTCTCCTGTGTGTGTGTGTGTTTGCCTCTGGGAGCAGGGGCAGAAATTCTCACCTATGCTTCAAAGACTTAGAAATGAATGTGTTCACCCGTTGCCATCCGCCTTCGGCTGTAAGCTGCTTGGGGCGGGGGCTGTCTTTCTGTGTGGGGTTTGTACAGCACCTGGCTCCAGGGGGGCTGCTACATGGCTGGGGTTCCTCAGGAGTAGAGCAGTAAATGTGCGGGGGGGACTGTGGGTGCTGAGTCAGCAACACACTTAAAGCACCTGCTTCACTTAAAATTCAGTGGGACTTGAGCATGTTCTCCAGCGCTTTGCTGGCCAGCGGTGAGCATTGTGCCTTGGCCACTGTTCCCCTCGGGCATGAATGCTGCCCCCCCAGGGCTGGATTCCGGTCCACACCTGCCAGCTCGAAGGCCAGCGGCTGCGGCTCGGTGGGGTGGCTGGCTGGCTTTGAGTGCACGACTGATCTCCTGCGGTGTCTGTCTCCCCACAGGACGAGGTGGCGCACACGGTTACAGAGAGCAGAGTGCTGCAGAACAGCAGGCATCCCTTCCTGACGGTAAATCCGCCCCGTGGAGTCTCCGGGCAGGCAGGGCGGCCGTGCCAGCCGGGGAAGTCCCCGTGGGTCTCCGGGCGGGCAGGGCGGCCGTGCCAGCCGGGGAAGTCCCCGTGGGTCTCCGGGCGGGCAGGGCGGCCGTGCCAGCCGGGGAAGTCCCCGTGGGTCTCCGGGCGGGCAGGGCGGCCGTGCCAGCCAGGGAAGTCCCCGTGGAGTCTCCGGGCGGGCAGGGTGGCCGTGCCATCCAGGGAAGTCCCCGTGGGTCTCCGGGCGGGCAGGGCGGCCGTGCCAGCCAGGAAAGTCCCCGTGGGTCTCCGGGTGGGCAGGGCGGCCGTGCCAGCCGGGGAAGTGGGCTGCTTACATGCCGGCCGAAACCTGAAAGATCCTTCAGACTCACAGTGTCACCTCATCAGCAGTGCAGCAAGTGCCCCTGGGAGGGGCAAAGCTCCAGGTCTTTAAACGGCGCCCCGAGCTGGGTGTCCGGGTGCAGAGCGCTCATCTCTCGCTTGTCGGCGCCAGGGCAGCTGAGCCTGGGAGGGAGCACGAGCCAGGGCTGCGCAGTTGCTACTGGGCAATGAATGTGCTGAGTGCCCAGCTCCTGCCATTGGCCCCATGCTGGCGCTGGCAGCCGAGAAGCCCTGCGCTGGGCAGGACTTGCTCACTCATCCAGGAGGCCGCAGGGCGGGCTGCTCGGCAGCAGCCAGCAGGCTCGGCGTGGGAGACGGGATTCTAGCTCTGCCCTTCCCTGGTGCGGGAGCTGGAGTGACACACCGTAGTCCCTCTGCCGTCTCGGGAAGCGCAGAGCCATGCAGCCGGCCCCCGCCTCTTCTCAGCCGCTCCCTCTCTTGCAGGCACTGAAGTACGCCTTTCAGACCAACGACCGGCTCTGCTTCGTGATGGAGTACGCCAACGGAGGAGAGGTGGGTCCCGCCCGCACGGTGCGCTGGGTGCTGCCCGGCTACCTAGTCCCCAAGTGAAAATCAAACAGCGGCACGGACTGGGGGAGGGGGAGACGTCTGAGGCTGGAAATGCGAAGGGGAGAGATTCGGGAGCTGAGCCGTTAGTGGGAGCTGCGGAAGAGCCCGTTCTGCCCCCCGCACTGGTGAGGTGGCCTGTGGGCCTGGAGGAGGGCGTAGGGGGGTGCAGAGGAGTCAACGGGAAGATGACCCATGTCTGTGACCGACCCCCCCCCCCCCACCCCCTCTGCGGCAGGACAGAATTTCAACTTGTCCATCATCTATCTCACTTGGGGGGCTCTCCAGTCTTACCAGCAGCTTGTGCTGCAGGGAAGTGTCAGCCCCGGCCCCTGGCAGGAGCCCTGCCGTAAGGAGCTGTGACCCAGCTAGTCAGGACTCATGGGTTCCCTGCCCAGCCATCACTGATTGGCCATCTGGCCGTAAAAACGACATTCTCCCAACTATGGGGTGTGGGGGGGGATTGTTACCCACCTCCCGTGGGGTGGGCGGCAGGTGTGGCTACGCAGCACTGACCAGCCTCTCCCAGCCAGCGTTCCCGGCTGTCAGGCACCAGCTGGCCTGCTGCTGTGACTGCCCCCGGCAGGATTCCTGCTGGCCTTGGTAAGGGAAACACAAGTGTCTTTGAGGGAACCTTTCTGAACTGCCTGGCTCTGGGTATGTTCTCCCCCTCCTGCCCCGGGCCTTCTCCCCGCCTCGGGGGCTGTCAACGTACAGGGCAGTGCGCGTCGGACACACCTGCCAGTGTTCTCGCCGGTGCAACTGCCAGAGCGCTCAGCCCTCGTTTGGCTGCTTCCGGGCTCTTACAGCCCCCGCTCCATTTTCCTTCCCTCCAGCTGTTTTTCCACCTTTCGAGAGAGCGCGTGTTCACGGAGGACCGGGCCCGTTTCTATGGTGCTGAGATAGTGTCCGCACTGGAGTACCTGCACTCCAGGGACGTGGTCTACAGGGACATCAAGGTAATGTCAGGGCAAACAGCCGGTCCACCCGGGTTCTGGCTAGCTCCCGCCTTCCGCGCCTGTGGCTGCAGCTGGAGTCGGTGCTCAGAGCCTTTGGGAACCAGGCTCTTGCATTTTAAAAAATGAAACTGAATTCTACGCCCTTGGGTCCCTGTTCCCTCCTTGCTCGGCTCAGCCGGTGAGACGCAGGCAGCCGGTGAGTGTCTCAGCAGCGCTGTGCCCTGGCTGGATTTCGTCACTGCAGGAAGGTGTCTGGAGAACAGGAGGCAAGGGCCCCTTGCTCCTGTCCCTGCTTCTGAGGGCTGGACTCAGCAGAGGCTTGGCCGCGAGCAGCCCCGTTTCTCAGGGCTCCGTCCCAGCCCCCAGTACGGCCTGGTGAGCGCTTGATTCATGGAGAGGGTAGTTTAAAACTTCCTCTTTTACCTAACCTCGTGTTCTGGATGATCTGCCCTTGGCTCGCCTTTCTGCCCAGAGGCTGTGCCCACGAGGAGAGCCGGCTTCAGGGTGGGATTCTGGGCTGCTCCTGAATGCAGCCAAACTGCCTGCATCCCTCGCAGGCCGGATCAGGCCCAGTGCTCTCTCGGGGGTTGACGAGGATTGACTTGCTGTTGATAGTTACCCAGGCCTAATGTTGCTGGTGGCATCTTTATGCTTCCCTGGCCCGCCCCGGACTAGCCACTGCGCCCCATCGAGCTCACAGTCTCGGCTCTGTGTGGACGAGCGAGCGGAATTAACCGGAGCTTTGACCCCCTCGCTCCCTCTCTGCCTTTCAGCTGGAGAACCTGATGCTGGATAAAGACGGCCACATAAAGATCACGGACTTCGGGCTCTGTAAGGAAGGCATAACGGACGGCGCCACCATGAAAACCTTCTGCGGGACGCCGGAGTACCTGGCCCCGGAGGTACTGATCTTTCACTCTTAGGTGTATTACGATAGCACCGCCCTGACCCAGGCCAGGGGCCGTTGGATGGGCAGAGACCGTGCCTGCCCGAAGAGCTCCCAGACCACAGGTGGGGGGGGACGGGACTCGCCCAGCCGGACAGTGACGAGCCTGGGAGCAGAACCCAGGCATCCTGCCTGCCCGGCCCGGACCCAGCCCCCTGGGCCAGGCCCACAGACGAGGGGTCAATGTCCCGTGGCCGGGAGTGGGGTGTAACAGGAGGTTGGTGGCAGCGCTGAATGCTGCTGCTAGACACACCTCACAAACCAGAGCGTCACCCTGACCTCAGGCCAGCAGGGCCCCTAGACACATCCGAGAATCCTTCTGCTGCTCGGCTGGGACGAGGCCCTCGCTGCACCAGAACGGTCCCTTCCACTCCGTTTCTGGCCAGCTTGTTCCCCACTCTAAGGTAGAAACAAAGCTGACGAGGAAAACCCTCTGCCTAGGTGGATTAGTGTGTTTAGAGCAGGGGGCTGGGAGCCAGGACTCCTGGGTTCTCTCCCGGCTCTGGGAGGGGAGGGGGGCTAGTGGCTGGACTCCTCTCCGCAGCTCACAAGCCCCCCCTTTTCCCCGCACAGGTGCTGGAGGACAATGACTACGGGCGGGCTGTGGACTGGTGGGGGCTGGGCGTCGTCATGTACGAGATGATGTGCGGCCGCCTCCCCTTCTACAACCAGGACCACGAGCGGCTCTTTGAGCTGATCCTCATGGAGGAGATCCGCTTCCCCCGCACCCTGAGCCCCGAGGCCAAGGCCCTGCTGGCCGGACTGCTCAAGAAGGACCCCAAGCAGAGGTGGGTGGGTGCTGGACACATGCACCCAGGGGCTCGCTGGGCCCAAGCTGGTCCCATGGCGCCAGCTCTCACTGGCTTTCTTCCGGGGGTGGCAGCTGCTCCACGGCAGGTGCGTCGGTCGCTGTGGAGACGGTCAGGGCTGGGAAAGCACCGGGAGATCCCCCATGGCAGGTGCAGACCAGAGGCGAAGTGTCCTTGGTCTCCTGCCCAGGAGAACCTGGGTTAAAGCTTCTAGGGCCTTCTCTGGCCTGGGTTGGAGGGGGTCAGACCAGCTGATCACAGTGATCCCCGCTGGCCTCGGACTCTAGGAGTCTAGACACAGAAGGTCCAGCGGGACCAGGCTGAGGGTCTAGGTAGACGCGCTGGTTTCGGTGTTGCTAATCGATACATGCCAGGATCCTGTGGATTTACAAGGGGCTCCCTGACCTTTGGCACCATCTAACTAAATGGATTTAAAATCGCACCTGGAAACCAGTGCAAGTAGCCCAGGCCCTGGAGCGAGGGCCAGGGAGTAAGGATGCTCTGTGTCTCCAGGCTAGGAGGAGGGCCAAACGACGCCAAGGAGGTGATGGAGCACCGCTTCTTCACAGCCATCAACTGGCAAGACGTGGTTCAGAAGAAGGTAAGAGGGGGGAACCCTCTTTGCTGTGGAGGTCCTGGGTTTTTTCTCATCCCCTGAACCACTTATCTGAAGAGTTCTCAGAACAGCCCGCTGCCACTGAGTGTACATGTGAGGCTGTGCAAAACCCACCCTTCGCTAACACCTGATCAGCACAGAGCAGAGCTCATGATACACCCCCGCGTGGGCGCGGGGTGAGGGCCTAGGCCGCTCAGTTGCACGGCTTCTCGTGCCTTAGTTCAGAGCTGCAGTGATCAGTTTGCAGACCCGGGGAAGGAGGGGTTGGAGCTGTGTCTAAAGCCAGCCCTGCTTTTCGCGGGAACCTCCCTTCACATGGCAGGCAGGCGTCACTGCTCAGCGACCTCTCTTGGGTTGGTCTAGGTGGAGCTGCACGGGATTAGCTCACGGGGTGAGTGGAAATCGACTCAGTCCCTGGGCTGGTTTCAGATGGCGAGCGGCGTCGCTCGGTGTAACAGGTTGGCTGACGCTGCCATTCAGCAGACGTGCGAGCGTCCACGTGGGGCTGATGTGAGCTGAGGTGTAGCTGGGCCCTGGAATGCAGCCGAAGGAATGGTTTCGGTGGCAGGCGCAGACCCAGCCGTGCTGCCATGCTGGGGAGGGTGGGAGCCAGCGGGCGTTCCCTGTCACTGATGTCAGCCTCTCTTGCTCCACAGCTCGTCCCGCCGTTTAAGCCCCAAGTGACATCTGAAATCGACACGCGATACTTTGACGACGAGTTCACAGCGCAGTCGATCACCATCACGCCTCCTGACCGATGTGAGTATGGCTGAGCTGGCTGCGCTGGGCTCTGGGGAGGGGCTGAAATGTGGGGAGCTCCACCCCACCCAGCACAGAAAGCAGGGGAAGCCTGGCTGGTCTAGTGGCCTAAGCACAGGACCGGGAGCCAGGATTCCTGAGCTCTACCCACTGTCTCATGGCACCGCACTGTGTAGTGAGGACGTCAGCGCTGCCCTAGGGTCAGAGTGCGCGGGGCTGTACGCGGCGTGTCTGATATCCGTGGAGGGATGTCGGCTGAAAGACCCCAGGACGCAGGGTTTGATCACGTACTCTGGGAGCACTCACAAGGACCAGCCCAGATTCAGGGCCTTGTATTGTCGTGTGCTGATCAGACACATGGCGAGAGCTGCTTGCGGAGGGAGAAGGGAACGGTGGTCCCCAGTGTAGACTGGGACCCAGCCTGGGAGCTGGGAGTTGGGAGCAAGCCTCCACGGTTCCAGCCCACCGGGCCCCTGGTTTTCTCTTGGTGGGAAGGAGGCAGAGAGAACACCACGTAGCCCAACTCTTGGGCATCTCGGGTTGCTCAGGCTCTCTTTAGGCGATTTTTGGAAGCATCCAAGGGGTTTAGGAGCATGAGTCCTGTTGAAGGCCACCTGTGCTCCCAACTCCCTGTGGTGCTTGGAGACCCACCCCCACCCCCCCATAAGCCGCTTCTCTCTCTGTCTGCAGATGACAGCATGGACTCCCTGGAGGCCGATCAGCGGACGCACTTCCCCCAGTTCTCCTACTCCGCCAGCATCCGAGAATAGGCGGTGGCAGGCAGAGACTTGGGCTCCGAGCACGGGAGAACTTGTTGGTTTTGTTCCTTGGATTTCTCTCCAGCAATCTGGTCACACACTAGCCCGGCCCCCGGAGGCTGCAGGGCAGCTGCCCCAGCTGTTTGAAACTCAGCCAGGTTGGCATCACACCACCAGGCGAGCAGGGAGACGCTAGCTCCCCGTTTCGAGCTGTGTGGAAAGGAAGGAAGTGCTCTTGCTCCGTGGCTCTGAGCAGCTCCAAGCCCTGGCTGGTTCAGTACCATGGGGTTGCTTTTATTTTTAAACTCCTAGAAGTGCTTACAGCTTTTAAAGACACCCCACCCCACGAGACAGCCCCTCTCTCAGCCTTCCTCCAGCGTCCAAGGGCCCAGCGAGCCGGGTTGTCAGCTAGCCATAACCTAAAAAACAAAGACCAGGAGAGAGGTCCTTGGAGAGGAATCCTGTGGAATCGAAACTGACTTGCAAGGAATGACGCCCGTTCTGTCCAGAGATTTCTGTTGGTCACGGAGAGCGACTGTGTGTGGACGTGACGTAAGACGCCACTCGGAATCTCCGCTGGGACGCACAGTAAACCCTCCGAGCAGGCCGAGAGCCCGGCGGGTTGGCCCTCACCCCAAGGGCTGCTGTTTACTTCATTGCTCCAGTGCAGCGAGGAACACTGGCTCGCCAGCCCCAGGGTTGGGTTCCTGGTTCCTGTTTTCTCTTCTGCCTGTTACATCTTTGCAGCCCTTCCTTACACCTGCTGGGAAAGGGGCACCAGCTGGAGCCATGTGGATCTCTGCAGGCAGGCGGGGGGAGGGAGTCTGGTGGGCACTTGGAGATTCAGCAGGGCTCCCACGGCACAAGAGCACTAAGGAAGAAGCCGGCCCTTTCCATGGGGAAGTGGCATGTCAGGAAGGGAGGGGGTTCTTGCCGGAGAAAAGCCAACCCCAGCCCACGGCGGTACCTGTGTCCGACACGCACGGTTGTAAAAGCAATAATGTTTTTCTTCAAAGCTGCCTTAAAGCCAGAAGTCGGTGCGCTCGGTGCTGCGGTCCCTTCACACCCTGTGTGCGGCAGGATTTTACACAGAACGACCAGGCAGCTAATAAACGCTGCAGCGCTCGGCCGGAGACGCGCCTTCCTCCGCAGCTCCTGTGAGCCCCTCGCCCGCCGGCTCAGCCCCCAGACTTCGGGCTAATCTTTTCCCACAGCACACGCCAAAGGCCCCGTTTCCCCATTCGGACGCACCCTGGGCTGTCGTGGACACTGCCGAGGGGCTGGGGAGCGCTGCTCCGCCTGTCCCTCCCAGCGCCAGCTCCTGGGCGGAGTGCATCGGGCAGCGGAGACTGGACAGAGAAAGTTACGAGTCGCGGGAGCTGAGCGCTCTTTCCCCATTGTCACTAAGCTGCCGGACCGCGTGTGTCAGACTCAAATGCTCTGAAACCATCTGCAGCTTTGAGGGGCAGGGGGAGCAGCTGCCTTCTGCTCCTCCCGGCATCCCAGAGCCACAGCGGGTCTCCCTGCCCAGCGTCTCTGAGCCAGTGTCTCTGAGCTTCGCCTGGGCCGGAAATCGCAACCCCTAGCCCAGTGGCAGAGAGCCATCCGAGCTGCATGGCCTTGAGGCTGCCGATGCACCTGGGGTGCAGGTTACAGCCACGTTGTGCGGGTGAGGCGACCTCAGGGTGCGTGGCGGGGGGACCCTGACTCCGGGGGGTCTGCAGCCACTTGGACCGAGAGCCTGGCCTGGCAGTTTTTCAGTTAGACACGTTTTGATGGGATATTCTCGCCTGCTCTGGTGCCCAAGCTGGGCTGCATCCCTGGTGTGTGGGGTCTCTTTCCCCAAGATTTTTACTTAGGTCAGCCGGTTAGCCGTTAATTCTGGGGGTTCGTTCCCCATGGTGCTGTTCCCTTGCAGGCAATGGACGCACTGGTGAATGGCTGACGGCCAGGACACCACGTGGCCTCGTGTTTTGGTATTTAGCCGATTATGCCTGATTTGAGGGATGGGGGGCCACGGCTCTCGGTACAGATGCCCCAAGTACTCAGCTTAGCTCTTCCTGCTGTGCAAGGTCAGGCCCCGGGATTGCCGCCTCGGAGCTCGGCATGCTTGCCCGCTCCTAATTTTTAAGCTCTTGAGTATTTCTGCCGCCTTTACCAGTGTCCGAGCCAGCGCCGATCTGGGTCCCGGTCCTCTCCAGCTGCTCCTCGCTGAAGTCTCTGAATTTCTCAGGGAGGGCGGGAGCCTCGTCCCAAGAGCCGCAGCCGGCCGTGCAGCCTGGCTGGGATTTGGGAGAAAGACTCCCCGCTGCTCAGCTGCCACCCCGGACAGGCACCCTCAGCAGGGGGAGCAGGTAGCCGCAGGCCTGAGCCCGGGCTGAGGCTGCGGGATCTGGGGCTACTCAGTGAGGGGGTCCACAGGGCTCATGCGCCGCCCTACCCTGCTGCAACTTCCCCTTAACCCTCCCGTCCCTGGCTGTGGTGCCCGCCCACAGTTAGCTGGGCTGAATTTGAGACTCAGGCTCTTTGCGCTCCGAGCCTGGTGCAGCCTCAGCCCCGAGAGAGGAGGGGGGACGGGTCTCGTGACCTGTCCCAGCCTGTGACGCACCCCTGGCAATGCTGGCACGGGGGGTTGGGGCAGGTTTCCCCCGCTCGCTCAGGGTGCGCCCGAGAGTCTTGGCAGCACTGGTCTGTCTCCTCCCGCAGCCCAGGGCTCTGGCAGGGGACCCGCAGAACGGGAGGTGGCCCTGAGTGGCCAGAGCCGCTGGCTGGAGTTCGTCTGGGAACTTCCCTGCAGGGGGGCCCAGGCTGAACGGAGGAGCTGGTAGTGTGCCCTGGCTCCCCTGGAGAGAAGCTCGTCTTCCCCCCTGCGATGGGGTCTGCTCCTGGCCGCAGCTGGGCTCGGGGAGGGGAAAGCAAACGAGTGCCTGGAGAGCGGGGCCCCCAGGGTCAATGTTGTCCCCGGGGTCCCAGCAGAAGGTTTATCCCCCTTGTATGGCCAGGGACCTGGGAACTCCCCCAGGCTTACACAGCTGCGGAGGAAACCCCCGTCTCCCAGTCCGGTGCCTTTAACCACCAGCCCAGCTCTCCGAACCTCCCTGGGCCTTCCCAGACTGTGTCAGGCCCATGCGTGAGTGGCCGGCAATTTCCTCTCTGGAGAAAGGCCCCTTCTGCATGTGCAGAGCTCAGCTGGCCGCTGAGAACCTCCTGGGGCCCCGCGTCCGGGGAGCAGCGCGTCAGCCCCACACCGAGCACACGCAGACCACGGGCTGCTGGTCGGGCGGCGCGGCCTGGCTCTCGCCTGGGTGGAGCAGCATTTGTAGATGCTGTCAAAGTGCTTCGTTGCTTGGGCTGTGTATTTCACGCTGCGTTTGTCAGGGAGCCAGGTGGGACCCTAGCAAAGCTTTAATTTAAAACCCACGTGGCCGCCCGGGTTGCCCGTCTGGCCAGATTGCCGGCTCCCCGGGCACGGTGCTGTGGCTTTTTCTCGCAGAGCTTTAGAGCCTTAATGTCCATTTGGCCTTTCGCTTGCTGAGTCGCTGGAATTTCGTGTTGATTCACCTGGCTCAGGGGCTGGGCTGCTGAGTCCTTCCCTCCCACCAGCATTACTGGGCTTGCTGCCCATCCAGTGCCCTTCTGTGCCTCACCAAGCGTCCAGGGGTGAACGGCTGCCCCTCCCCGGCTGGCAGGGGCTGTCCCAGGACACAGCTCCCGTTGAGAGTGCTTCTCTGCCCTGATCTGTGGCCAGCCCGGCATCCGCCCAGCTTTGAGGATGGATGAGCAGCCAGTGGGGCAGGAGCTTTCTCACCCGGTGAGGTGGGAGATTTTACTCTTGTGGCAAAGGGAACCTCCAACGCAATGGGCACCTCGGATGAATGATGCAGACCCTGCAGCTGGTACGCTGGGATCTCGGGCACGGCTCCTGCCATTGGCTCCCGAGCTGACCTCAGTCCCCAAGCTTGGATTGTGTGAGCTCTGCCGGGGTGCTGGGGCATGCCTGGCACGGCGAGCAGCCCGGCCATCTTCCCTTCGCCCAGCTCAGAGCGGGGAGGGGCCCAGAAACTTTTCCCCATGTCTGTAGTTGCTGCAGTTGAGGTGCATTTACTTAGACTGACACGTCCTTGTGGGTTTCCCCGACAGCAACAGGGGGACGAACGTCTCCAAAGCTGGAGTTGGAAGCTTTGGCCGCACGTGGCCCGGAGGCCGGGCTGTGATACTTGATTCACTCTGTAAGATAGTTTGTGAGTTCTGACTATTCTCGCTTTTCCTAGTTCCTGGAGTGTTTTGGTTCTGTAAATCTGTCCACGGCGCGTCACCTGCGCCCTCGGATTTGTACGGTACAAGCAATAAAATGGTTTTTGGAAGCTTTGGGTCCATGCGTTGTTTCCCCCTTGTCCCCCAAATCCTGTCATCGCAGCCGCCCGGCGCTGGGGTTTGCCCCAGGAATTGCCCTCGCTCCGGTCCCGTATCCTGTCGGGTGCGTGTGTCCTGCTGCTTCAGAGAGAGGGGAAATCCTGATGCCCTGCAGGGCTGGGGCAGTGGCCTTCTTTCCCAGGCCGACGCTGGGAAATCCAGGCTCCAGGGCCCGGTTCTGAGGGGTGCTGAGTTCCCAGGGGTCCGGAGGGAAGAGGTGGAGGCTGCGGGCTCAGCCCTAGAGAACCAGGCCCAGCTCCCCCTGTTTCCTTGGGGAGCCCCCCCATGTCTGCAGGAAACTCCCCATGTCCTCTGGGTTCTACATAGACCTGCCCTGCCTGGGGGTGGCCAGGCCCTCACTCACCCCACAAGCCTGGGCGTGCTTAGCCCCTCGCCAGGTCCCAAGGGAGCCCAGCAGCCGGGGCATGGGGTGGGGCTGGCTCCGGGTGGGGGGGGTCAGGAGCTGCTCTCAAAGCAACACACGTTCCCGTGAGCCTCTCATGGCCCTATGCTGACAGCGCTGCCCAGACCCCGGCCGAGACCGGGGCCCCGTGGGGCTGGGCGCTGTGCAGCACAAGGAGATGCGGTCTAGGCCCCTCCGAGTTCCCAGCCTATATACAAAGGGAAGATCCTTTCCCCATATTACGGAGCGGGAGCGGAGGCCGAGAGAGAGGCAGAGGGAGGCCGTGGCAAAGGAGGGGACATTTTGCAGTGTCCGGTTCCTAGCCCCTGTGCTCCTTGCTTGAACGCCTCTTCCCCACCCCCTCTCACTGTATGTGGGGCTGCCCTGTGGCCCTTTCATTCCTTTTCTCTGGGCCTCTCAACCCAATGGGGCCTGATCCCCTTCACACACACACCCCCATGCGCACGCACACGATGTCACTGCCTCGGGGAATGCAGCTGTCTCTGGGGTGAGCCCTGGGGCAGGGACCCTTTGTGCTGCACTGAGATGCAGCCCCCTCTGGGGTGGGGCACAGGGGCTGTTTATACCGGGATCTCTCACCCAGTGCTGCGATGCAGCCACTTCTGGGGTGAAACACTGCAACTGTTCAACAGCAACAGCGAATGGCTACAAGGACGGATCCTGCATCCAGCTGAAGCTGCAGGGGAAATTCAGGGAGGCTGAAGGGAATTAGTGCCCAGGATGGAATTTCGCTTGGACATCAGGTTTTTAACGCCCCCCCCTCCCCTCCAGCCCCCTGCCGCCTTTTGGAAAACAGGCCGTGGGCTTTGCGGGGGGCAGAAGCAGAGGGAGTTCCGCAGCCGCCCCCCTCCCTGGCCCTTGGTTCTCTCCTGACGCCCCACACAGCACGGCCACCCGCAGCCCCGCTTTTCCCGAGGTCACCCAGCCAAGCGGGGCCGGGGCCTGCTGAGACGCACAAACCCAGCTGAGCTGGGCCCCAGCCCGGATCCCCTGGGCGCAGGTGGGTTCGTTCTGCCTTTTAGCCTGAAATAAATTCCTGGTGGAGGGGGTGTGAGAGCCGCCCGCCCCCTCCCACAAGCAGAGAGCTGCACAAGGCAGCGAACGAGACGGCTCACTACGTGCACTTGAGCAGCAGCTAGAAACCCCGGCCGAGATCGGGGCCCCGTCAGGCCCAGACCCTGAGCATGAGACAGTCCCTGGCCCTAAGATCTCAGTCAAAAGAGACAAAGCGAGGATCATTGTCCCCATTTTACAGCTGAGGAAACGGAGGCCCAGGGCCCAGCAGAGACGTGCCCAAGGCCACTATGACAATATGGGACTGTTCTTAATGTTTTCTCTGAATACTGGGTGCGTGCCTCAGTTTCCCCTATGCCTTTCTTAAGTCTCTAGGTGGTGGGATCAGGGGGGTGATTGTCGCAGAGCCCTGGGGGCCAGTGTGATGGTGTGTGCACAGAGACTGGCCGACACCCTGTCTCCTGGCCACTGATGGCCTGGCCCCCCACCCCTGCAAAGGTGCCGACTGAAGGGGCTAGAGAACAAAGAGATCAAGTGACTCCTGGCCCAGGAAAGAGACAAAGGCCAGAGGAGGGACTGGAGAGTTTCAGTTTGGAGCTGGCTGGGGAAATGGGGGGAGGTCCAGATGGGGCTCTGGCCTCCCTGGCCCCAAGACGGACCTGACTGAGGGGTCCTGTTCTCTACACCTGCAAACTCCGTGTTAGACCATGTTCCTGTCGTCTAATAAACCTTCTGTTTTACTGGCTGGCTGAGAGTCACGTCTGACTGCGAAGTTGGGGGGCAGGGCCCTGTGCCCCCCCCCGACCCCACCCAGGCAGACTTGCTGTGGGAAGCACAGGGTGGGGCAGGGGATGCTGAATGATACTCGGAGGTCAGACCCAGGAAGGTGGAAGCCGGGTGAGCTGTGTGGCCTGCAGACAGGCTGCTCCCCGAGAGGAGACTCCCCCAGAGTCCTGCCTGGCTTCGTAGGGAGCAGTTCCAGAGCATCGCCCAGGGACCCCGTGACAACTGGTGGCAGTGGTGGGATCTACTGCACCCCGTGGACCGAACATCCTGCAGTAAGCGACTGGGGAGCAGTGAAACAAAGGGGGGTAACGAGGACCAGGCGTGCTGAAGGCTCAGAGAGGGGTGGTTTCAGGGAGCGGAGGAGCTATGCTTAACCCCTGGGAATGTGTGACCAGAGAGAAGGACTTTTGCAGTAACAGGGTCCCCCGGGGATCGCAGCGAGTCGTCCCATGGGCGGAGGCGTCTGCAGCTCGACCCTGGCAAAGAGGGGGTGACCTCGAGAAGGGCTGGCACACTAGGGTTTCTCCCTGGAAACCGTGGGGAGCTGAGAGCACCCAGGCCTGCGAGTCCACAACAACTTGGGAGGAGCGGAGTGATGGCCTGTCACCGTCTCCTTAAGAAAGCCATTGTAACCCTGTTGTAACGAGGCTGGTTCTGGCGGGACCCCCCTGAGAGGCGCCAATTCCAGACAAACGGCTTCAAGCAGGGCAGTCACAGCCCCAGGCTGGGGTTTCTGTGCCCACCAAGGCAAGGCAAACCAAACCAGCCAGACAGAGAGGACTTCGGTCTCACCCCACTGGCTAACCACAAGTCACACAAGCAATTCCCTTAGACACCCCAGTTTCCCAGTATCCCCACCAGCGCCACTCGGTATGGGGACGAATGGTTATGAAAACCAACACTCCAGTAAAAGAACAAAGGTTCTCTCGATCCCAAAGGACCAAGCCCCAGGCCCAGGTCAATATACAAATCAGATCTTACCCACAAATCACATAAACCAGTCGGAGAACACTTCAATCTCTCTGGTCACGCAATCACAGACATGAAGGTCGCTATCTTAAAACAAAAAAACTTCAAATCCGGACTCCAGCGAGAAACTGCTGAATTGGAATTCATTTGCAAATTGGATACTATTAATTTAGGCTTAAATAGAGACTGGGAGTGGCTAAGTCATTATGCAAGGTAGCCTGTTTCCTCTTGTTTTTTCCTACCCCCCCCCCCCCAGATGTTCTGGTTTAACTTGGATTTAAACTTGGAGAGTGGTCAGTTTAGGTGAGCTATTACCAGCAGGAGAGTGAGTTTGTGTGTGTATGGGGGTGGGGGGGATGTGAGAAAACCTGAATCTATGCAGGAAATAGCCCGACTTGATTATGTAAAGAGTTGTCACTTTGGATGGGCTAGCACCAGCAGGAGAGTGAATTTGTGTGGGGGGGTGGAGGGTGAGAAAACCTGGATTTGTGCTGGAAATGGCCCAACCTGATGATCACTTTAGATAAGCTATTACCAGCAGGACAGTGGGGTGGGAGGAGGTATTGTTTCATATTCTCCGTGTGTATATAAAGTCTGCTGCAGTTTCCACGGTATGCATCCGATGAAGTGAGCTGTAGCTCACGAAAGCTCATGCTCAAATAAATTGGTTAGTCTCTAAGGTGCCACAAGTCCTCCTTTTCTTTTTACAAATCACACTGTTGCCAATCTTTTAGAATCTAAAATCTAAAGGTTTATTCATAAAAGGAAAAGGATAGAGGTGAGAGCTGGAATGGGTGAAATGGAATCAATGACACACAGTCATGGCAAAGTCCTTGGTTCAGGCTTGTAGCAGTGACAGAATAAACGGCAGGTTCAAATCAAGTCTCTGGAGAACATCCCCAGCTGGGAGGGGTCCTTCAGTGTAGCCAAGTCCCTCCAGAGGTCGGAAGCAGGACTGAAGACAGGATGGAGAGGAGGCATCAGCCCTTTCTAGTCTCCTCCAAGAGTAAGAACCCCTCTTTGTTCAGACTGTGGAAAGTTACAGCAAAATGGAGTTTGGAGTCATATGGGCAGGTCCCTGCACCCTTTGCTGAGTCCCCAGGCGTGTCTGCCTTCCCTCAGTGGGTCATTGTATCGCTGATGGTCCTTAATGGGCCATCGAGCAGGCTAGGCAGAGCTGACGCCAACGTGTCTGGGGTGTCCCTCAGAAGCATAGCATAAATTGGAAATACAGACAGTACAGAGCTAATAGTCATCTCTTTAACTACAAAAATGATACCCACATATAGACAGCACAGTCCTAACCTGCCAAACATCACCTTGTCTGAGACACCTCATTTGACCCCCTTTATACAAGACTTGGTGCCACGACAGGACCTTGGTTGCCACAATGATCTATACGGTCCCAGATTATGTCAATAACGCCACCCCTGTGCAAAACTTGTCAGCAAGTTAAGGAAGTATGGGCTGGATGAATGCACTACAAGGTGGGTAGAAAGCTGGCTAGATTGTCGGGCTCAACGGATAGTTATCAATGGCTCCATGTCTAGTTGGCAGCCGGTATCAAGTGGAGTGCCCCAAGGGTCGGTCCTGGGGCCGGTTTTGTTCAATATCTTCATAAATGATCTGGAGGATGGTGTGGATTGCACTCTCAGCAAATTTGCGGATGATACTAAACTGGGAGGAGTGGTAGATACGCTGGAGGGGAGGGATAGGATACAGAAGGACCTAGACAAATTGGAGGATTGGGCCAAAAGAAATCTGATGAGGTTCAATAAGGATAAGTGCAGGGTCCTGCACTTAGGACGGAAGAACCCAATGCACAGCTACAGACTAGGGACTGAATGTCTAGGCAGCAGTTCTGCGGAAAAGGACCTAGGGGTGACAGTGGATGAGAAGCTGGATATGAGTCAGCAGTGTGCCCTTGTTGCCAAGAAGGCCAATGGCATTTTGGGATGTATAAGTAGGGGCATAGCGAGCAGATCGAGGGACGTGATCGTTCCCCTCTATTCGACATTGGTGAGGCCTCATCTGGAGTACTGTGTCCAGTTTTGGGCCCCACACTTCAAGAAGGATGTGGATAAATTGGAGAGAGTCCAGCGAAGGGCAACAAAAATGATTAGGGGTCTGGAACACATGAGTTATGAGGAGAGGCTGAGGGAGCTGGGATTGTTTAGCCTGCAGAAGAGAAGAATGAGGGGGGATTTGATAGCTGCTTTCAACTACCTGAAAGGGGGTTCCAAAGAGGATGGCTCTAGACTGTTCTCAATGGTATCAGATGACAGAACGAGGAGTAATGGTCTCAAGCTGCAGTGGGGGAGGTTTAGATTGGATATTAGGAAAAACTTTTTCACTAAGAGGGTGGTGAAACACTGGAATGCGTTACCTAGGGAGGTGGTAGAATCTCCTTCCTTAGAGGTTTTTAAGGTCAGGCTTGACAAAGCCCTGGCTGGGATGATTTAATTGGGAATTGGTCCTGCTTCGAGCAGGGGGTTGGACTAGATGACCTTCTGGGGTCCCTTCCAACCCTGATATTCTATGATTCTATGAAAAAGAGAGGGTTACGCATGGGAAAGCCTTCGAGCCGGAGTTGAACCAGCAACCCTGCAGAGGAGGAGGGGCCCAGGCCATCAGTTGCCAGGAGACAGGGTATCGGCCATTCTCTGTGCAGACCCCATCACACCCGCCTAGGGCTCTGCAACACTCACACCCCCTGATCCCACCACCTGGATACTTAAGGAATGCCTAGAGGAAACTGAGGCACCCACCCAGTATTCAGAGAAAACATTAAGAACATTCCCACTTCGTCACAGACCCCCAGGCAGTTTGTGGCAGAGGTGGGAACAAAGTCCAACTCCCCTGAGTCTCGGCACAGGGCCCCTGCTGCCCTCCTTGCTCTGGCTGCAGACGCACAGCACCTGCTGCCCTGGGGCTGTTCCCACAAATACTGTTCTCAAGAATTTCTGCCCCTCACTCCCGACCTACAGCCCCCTGCTAGCCCAGCCCTGCCCCCCCAGCCCTGCCGGTGCCCCTCACTCCCAACCCGCAGCCCCTCATGTTGTCAATGGGTCTGCCCTTGCTTGGGCTGGAACTGCTGGGTGCTTTGATGATGTCCCCAAAGGGGGGAAATGCTCCCTGCTCCCCGCACTGGTCGTGCGCTGGGCCAGGCCAGGCCAGGGGCTTTTCCCGACCCTGCTGCATGCCAGGACCTCATGGTCCCCCGGGGCTGGATGAACAGACTCAGCCCCTGGGAATGGACCCCCCTCCCTGCAGCCATGGGGGGGGGGGTGAGCTCTATCCCTCCCCGCCCCTAGCCTGAGCCAATGGCCAGGCACTAACCTGGGCTGAGATGCACCAATAGTGCGTGGGGGCCCCCAGCTGACCCCTAACGAAGCATTAATTAGCAGGGCCAGGGCCAGGGCCAGGGCCTGCAGCTGGTGCCTTTACCCTCCCGCACCCCCAGCTCTTCCTCTCGGGCAGGATGATGCGGGCTGCGCTGGGCCAACCCCCCAAGTACCATGAGCTGAGAGCCTGGCCCCCGCAGCAGAGAACGGTACCGGGACGCGGCCCCCGCAGGACCAGCCCAAGCCTGGGAGGCTGCTAAAGGCCACTGAGCTCCAGCTGCCCCCCTGCTCTCAGGGGGGTGCCCTTGGTACCCCAGGACCTGCCCGGGGAGATTCCCCCTCCAGTAACCATGGGGGGTGCCCCCGGGGAGCCAAGTTTGTTCCCCTCCCCTATGGGGCCCGGTGGGGGGCTGTACATGGGAGGGGGGGTCTCCCTGCCCTCACCCCCGGTGAGTCAGTCTGGGCTCTTGGCCCAGCTCCGCAGAAAGCGAGTTCCACCCCTCCTTGCCCATTTTGGGTTCGCTGGGCCCGGACACCTGGGTCCTGAGCATGGGGGGGTGCATCCTGTGCCCATAACAAGCTCCCCTCCAGCGTCCCCCCAAAGGCTGAGGCTGGAACCCAGAAGTCCTGAACCGGCCTTCCCCTGGGGCTGTGCTGTGGGGGGCTCCCTGCTGGGGCCCAGGTTGGGGCTTCCCAGCCTCAGGGGCAAGACAAGAGGCAGCTCAGCCTGGGGGCAGCGACCTCCAGGCCACACTCTGGCTCCCAGGCCCCCTAGGGGATGTTGTGGGGTCCAGGGAACCCCCCCCCATGACGGGGTCACCCCCTGACCCCCTGATGCCCGGGTCTCTCAGCAGCTGCAGGCAGAAGAGAAACGGGAGCCGCTGAAAAGCAAGAACAAGGGCATTGGCGGGGACAAGGGGGCCACAAAGGTGAGTTTGGAGCCCCTGGGTGGGGGGGGCGGCATTCACTGTCTGTGCGGCCCCCACCGCCCCCGGGCTGCAGCCTCAAGAGCAGCCGGATGGGCTCTGAGGTGACCGAGCTCGGCTCCCAGCTCTGCTACTGCCACCCCGGATCTGCCCCCCAGCTATGTGCCTCAGTTTCCCCACCTGTCCCGTGGGGAGAAGGAGCCTTCCTCTGCCTGTGCAGACCAGGAGCTCCTTGGGGCAGGGCCCTGAGCTCAGTCAGGGTCTGGGCCGTGCCCGGCCCCATGGGGGGCCCTGATCTAAGTCAGAGGGGTGGGGGTGTCTGTTGGGTGCTACCGTAACACACCTAATAGGCAGGCATTGTCCAAGCTCAGACTGTGCAGGGAGGGTCACGGTGGTTTGGAGGGGTCCCCGCTGGGGCAGGAAGAAGTGTCCAAGAAGGCCCCCAGTTGGGCCAGCCCAGCGTTAGGGGGCAGCAGGGGTGGGGGGGTGCAGTGCAGTTGCCCTGAACTTTGTGGGGGTGCTGAAAATGCAGATCAGCTTCTCACCCCCCCAAACCTGCTGTTTGCAAACTACCAGCCCCCCAAGTGCTCGGGAAGAGTTGCTCACCCCACACAGCAGGGGGTGCTGGGGCATGTGCCCCTAGCCGGCTGCTGTGATTCTGGGGGGCGGATGGGGAGGCGTGGCCCATGCTTGGGGCGGTGAATCCCGGCAGTGTCTCGGGGCCTCTGTCCTGCCCCGGTGACAAGGGGTGTCGGCCAGGACGCCGGGGTCCTTCTCCCAAACGCCCCCAGTGCTCACAGCTGGGGCTGAGGGTCCTGGCTCTGTGTGGGGCTGCCAGGCTCTGGAGGCGGGGGGCTCGGGGTCACAGACCCGTCATCCTAGGGTGGCTGGCTCCCCCAGGGCAGCGGGGCGCTGACGGGGCGCAGGGGCGTTCTCAGCTCTCCGCCCAGGGCCCTGTGGCATTCCCGCTGCCCCCACCCATCTCTCCCGCAGAAGAAGCCGCAGGGAAGCCGGGTCCGAGAGGCGGCACCAGAGAAAGCAGCAGCTGTTTGCCCCAGGGTCCCCGCGAACCCCGTCCTGCAGGGAGGTAGGGGCCTGGCCGGAGGGGCGGGCCGTGGGGCGGGAGGCTGCAGGCCCAGGGTGCCACCAGCCAGTGCCAGCACGGGGGAGCTGCACACCGGGCAGCCCGCGATGCACCTGCCTCTGGGGTGGAGGGGCTGGTGGGGAGCCCCGCAGCGGTGGGACCGAAGGGCCATGAGCGAAGAGTTCGCCAGCCCGGGGCACTGGGCACTGGGGGGAGTGTGGCTGGCGACCCCGTCTCTCCCCGCAGGGGACCCCGAGGGGGGGGCCGGGTGCTGCTCTCTGTGCCCGGGGCGCTGGGGGGAGCGTGGCTGGTGACCCCGTCTCTCCCCGCAGGGGACCCCGAGGGGGGGGGGTGGGCGCTGCTGTCTGTGCCCGGGGCGCTGGGGGGGGCGTGGCTGGTGACCCCGTCTCTCCCCGCAGGGGGCCGCTCGGTGGGGGGGCCGGGTGCTGCTCTCTGTGCCCGGGGCGCTGGGGGGAGCGTGGCTGGTGACCCCGTCTCTCCCCGAAGGGGACCCCGAGGGGGGGGCCGGGCGCTGCTCTCTGTGCCCGGGGCGCTGGGGGGGGCATGGCTGGTGACCCCGTCTCTCCCCGAAGGGGACCCCGAGGGGGGTGGCCGGGCACTGTTTTCTGTGCCCGGGGCGCTGGGGGGGGCGTGGCTGGTGACCCCGTCTCTCCCCGCAGGGGGCCCTGACGGGGGGCTGCCCGGGGGGGGCCAGCCCCTGCTCTGCGTGCCCGGGGCGCTGGCCGAGGAGCTGATGCAGGCGCTGGTGAGCCTGGGCATGGCCCTGGAGCGGGAATACGCCTTGGACATCTTCACCAGCATGATGGTGAGTGCCGGGGGGGGAAGGGGGCAGCATGGCCGGGGGGGTTAAAGGTCACGTGACAATGGCTTCCCGGCTGCCCCATGGCTGATGTCCCTGGGTGGGGGGAGCAGCTTTTTGGGGGGTTGGACCAGCCCCACCCCCAATTACACCCATGATGAAAAATGGGGCTCCCCCCCCCAACCCTGGCAGGAGCAACCCAAAGGCCCTGGCTGATTCCTGGGTCCCATCCCCAGCTCTGGGAGGGGAGTGGGGGCTAGCGGTTAGAGCAGGGGGGGCTGGGATCCAGGACTCCTGGGTTCTCTCCCCAGCTCTGGGAGGGGAGTGGGGGCTAGTGGTTAGAGCAGGAGGGGCTGGGAGCCAGGACTCCTGGGTCCCATCCCTGGCTCTGGGAGGGGAGTGGGGACTAGTGGTTAGAGCAGGGGGGGCTTGGGGCCAGGACTCCTGGGTTCTCTCCCAGCTCTGGCCCAGCCCCGTGGCGTGTCCCTTCCGGCCCCTGGGCTCGGCCACTGCCCCATCCCCACGTTTCTCTCCCGTCCCCAGAGGAAACAATCCAGCTACATCTTCCGGAGCTGGGAGGTGCCGCGCACCGTGACGGCCGAGATGCGGGCGCTCATCGTCGACTGGCTCGTGCAGGTGCACGTAGGTATCGGTGAACCCCCCCGCTGCCCCCTGGGACCCGACGGCCCCACACCAGGCAGACCAACAACCCCCCCAGCCCTGGCAGGGTCCCTGGGCACGGAGCCTCCGGGATCAGGGGAGGGCGAAGAGAGGGTGGGGTTGGGCTGGGTTTGCCCCTGAAGGGGAGGGGCGGCCTAGGACTCCTGGGTTCTACCCCTGTGGCAGATGGTTGGGCAGGTCTCTCCCCACCTCGTGGTGCCTCAGTTTCCCCCTGCATAAAATGGGCAATAATTCCCCCGCCCCCAGGGGATAAAGAGATCACACTCAGTGCCCCCCCCCACCGGCACCATTGCCCTGTCCCTGTGCCCCCATTTTCGGTTGCTCTGGTGACCTGGTCCCCCCAGGAGTACCTGGGCCTGGCGGACGACACGCTCTACCTGGCCGTCTACCTGATGAACGCCTACATGAAGGTGGCGCGAGTGAGGGTCCCGGCCCTGCAGCTGCTGGGTGTCACCTGTCTCTTCGTGGCCTGCAAAGTGGAGGAGTGCACCTTCCCCGAGGTAAGGCAGGGCGCCCGGACGCCTGGGTTCCTCCCTGGCTCTGGTGGGCTAGAGCAGGAGGGGCTGGGAGCCAGGACTCCTGGGTTCTCTCCCTGGCTGTGGGAGGGGGGTGGAGTGTCACGGACTCTCAGGTCATGCCCACTCTTGGCCCGTGCGGTCCCTGGGGGGAACCCCCTTCAGTGAGACAGCCCTTCTCGGGGGTCCACTCTCTCCCGGGGGTCCAGCCCTTGCACCTCCTGGAGCTGCACCTCTACGAGCCTTAGCACCCCTGTTTCTCACCGTGGGCCCCCTCAGGGAGTCCACTCGCTCTGGCCCCCCGGGGCCTCCACTCCCAGAGGGAATGATGCCTCCCTGTTCTCTAGCCTGGAGCGATTCTCAGCTGGGGTAAAACAGGAGGGTTTATTGAGAGTCCGAACCCAGCACAGGAACCTCGCCTGGCCTCCCTCAGCCCAGCACATCCCAGTCTCTCCTGCGTCCAGGGGGGCTCGGGGCTGCTCCCCCTCTCCAGCCCCGAGCCCCCCTGCTTCCCAGCTGGGCCTCTCAGATTCCCCGGCTCTGTCCATTGTCTCTTCTCTAGGTAAACAGGGTCACCTGGGCCCCTCTCCCCTCTTTTGTCCTCTGGCCCCTCTGGCTGGGACCAGCTGGTCAGGTCACCGGGGTCCTCTCCCCACAGCCCATTGTCCCCCCACTGGCCAGACCTGGCTGGGACTCCCGAGCTGGGCCTCTGGGTCCCCAGGTCCCCAGTCGCCGGGGTCTCTATTCTCCAGGCCATTGGCCGGGGTCCCAAGGTCCTTCGCCGGTCCTGTGTCCCCCACAAACTCCCTCTCCCCTCCCCTCGTTAAACCCGTAACACCCAGGGAAACCGAGTCCCACCCCCTCTGTATGCAACCCACTGGAAAACACGGAAAAAACAAGAAAATCCCCCACTTCGTCACACGGGGTTTAGTGGTTAAAGCAGGGGGCTGGGAGCCAGGACTCCTGGGCTCTGTTGTTTCTAGGAGGGGCTGGGGGAGGCTGGCTGCTGTTCCGGCCGCAGGAGCTGCTGGGGGGCTGGGAGGTGAGATGTGGGGGCACCCGGCCCAGCCCTGCTTCCCTTGCAGCCGGCCGAGCTCTGCTTCATGACCGAGGACTCGTTCAGCCGCCGGGAGCTGCTGCGCATGGAGCGCAAGGTCCTGTCCCGCCTCAACTTCCAGCTGCATTTCACCAGCCCCCTGCACCTGCTGCGGCTGCTGGCGGCCCTGGGCCACTGTGGCCCGAAGGTGAGCGCTGGGGCCGGGTCTTGCTGCGGACGCAGGCTGGGGAGCTGGGCAGGGCGGGGAGCCAGGACTCCTGGGTTCCATTCCCAGCTCTGGGCGGGGAGTGGGGTCTAGTGGTTAGAGCGGGGGCGGCTGGGAGCCAGGACTCCTGGGTTCTATCCCTGGCTCTGGGCAGGGAGTGGGGGCTAGGGGTAGGCGGGGGGCGCTGGGTTTCCCAAGGGCGGGGGGCGCTGGGTTTCCCAAGGGCGGGGGGCGCTGTGGACCGGTCTGACCCGTGTGCCCCCCCAGGTCCATCACCTGGCCATGTACTTCATGGAGCTGTGTCTGATGGAGGCAGACTGTGTGGCGTTTGAGCCGGCCCAGCTGGCTGCGGCTGCCCTGGGCCTGGCACAGCGGGTGCTGCAGGAGGCGGGCGCCGGGGGCTTGGGCACCAGGCCGGAGGGCTCCACGCAGCTCTGCCTCTACAGGTGGGTGACGTGGGTGCAGGCGTGGGGGGGAGGGGGGGATCCCTGAAATGCGGCCGGCAGGAGCTCCAGCTGTCTGGGGCCCAGGTGGGCCACGGAGCCACAGGCCCTGTGCTGGACAGGAGGGTGGGGGGTTCCCCGCAGCGGGGGGTGGGGGGGTTCCCGCGCTGGTTGACGCCCTCCCCCGGCTCTCGTTGCAGCGAAGAGGCGCTCGGTGCTGTACATTGCTCCATGGCCAGGGCCGCGCTCCGGGCCGGCGGCTCCACCCTCCAGGCCGTGTTCCTGAAATACTCGCGCCCCCAGAAGCTGGGGGCCAGCACCAGCCCGGCCATCGCCACCTCCGACTACCTCGCCCGCTGCCGGAGCCAGGCACCCTGAGCCCGGCGGGGATGGGCCTGGGCATCTCCGGGGATTCCCAGCTGCTCTGGGGGGGGTGTCTGTGACTGGTGATTGGCCCCTGCTAGGGAAGGGGGCCGGGCGGGCCGTGGAGCTGTTGCACAGCTGGGGGTGCAGAAAGGGGGCGCAGGGGGACGGGTGGGTTTCTCTAAGCCTGGCCCCCCGTCTCCCTCTGTGCCCCTCGGCTCTGGGTGGAGGGGGCTGGGCCATGGGCCTGTGGCAGCCCTGAGGGGGCTGGGATCGGGGGCGGGGGCAGCATCCCCCAGGCTGGCTCCCAGCCCCCCCCCCAACCCCCCGCACAGGCCTCAAAAAAAAAAAAGGAAAAAAAGAACAGGAAAAAAGCAGCTGGTGGGATAAGAAACAGGCCAGGCGCGTTTGTCGAATAAAGTGAGTTTTAATCCCCCTGGAGCCAGCTGCTCGCCGGGTGTGACTGGGGGGGGGCCGCCCCAGAGGGGCCCCCCCAGCTCCAGCTGCGCAGCCCTTGGCCCAGGCTGCCAGCAGGGGCAGGTTTCTGGTGGTTTCCCTGGGCGGGGGGAGGGACTCTGCCCCCCAGAGAACGGGTGGGTCGTAGCTGGCGGTGCTGGCTCAGACCAGGCCCTGCTTGTCTGCACGACGGGGTCCAGCACGAGGGTCCGGCGTGAGGTCCCGGCACGCCAGGGGATGCGGGTCGGGAGTGAGGGGGGCCGGCAGAGCTGGGTGGGGGCAGGGGGCTGCGGGGCGGGAGTGAGGGGCGCCGGCAGAGCTGGGTGGGGGCAGGGGGCTGCGGGGCGGGAGTGAGGGGGCACCGGCAGAGCTGGGGGGGAGCAGGGGGCTGCAGGTAGGGAGTGAGGGGCAGCGGCAGGGCTGGAGGGGAGCAGGGGGCTGCGGGGCGGGAGTGAGGGGCACCGGCAGAGCTGGGGGGGAGCAGGGGGCTGCAGGTAGGAAGTGAGGGGCAGCGGCAGGGCTGGAGGGGAGCAGGGGGCTGCGGGTCGGGAGTGAGGGCGCCGGCAGGGCTGGGGGGAGCAGGGGGCTGCGGGTCGGGAGTGAGGGGCGCCGGCAGGGCTGGGGGGGGAGCAGGGGGCTGTGGGTCGGGAGTGAGGGGCGCCGGCAGGGCTGGGGGGCTGTGGGGCGGGAGTGAGGGGTGCCGGCAGAGCTGGGGGGGAGCAGGGGGCTGCAGGTAGGAAGTGAGGGGCAGCGGCAGGGCTGGGGGGGGCAGGGGGCTGCGGGTCGGGAGTGAGGGGCGCCGGCAGAGCGGGGGGGGCAGGGGGCTGTGGGGCGGGAGTGAGGGGCGCCGGCAGAGCTGGGGGGGAGCAGGGGCTGCGGGTCGGGAGTGAGGGGCGCCGGCAGAGCTGGGGGGGGCAGGGGGCTGCAGATCGGGAGTGAGGGGCGCCGGCAGAGCTGGGGGGAGCAGGGGGCTGCAGATCGGGAGTGAGGGGCGCCGGCAGAGCTGGGGGGGGCAGGGGGCTGAGGGGCGGGAGTGAGGGACGCCGGCAGAGCTGGGGGGGAGCAGGGGGCTGCAGGTAGGAAGTGAGGGGCAGCGGCAGGGCTGGAGGGGAGCAGGGGGCTGTGGGTCGGGAGTGAGGGCGCGGCAGGGCTGGGGGGAGCAGGGGGCTGCGGGTCGGGAGGAGGGGCAGCGGCAGGGCTGGGGGGGAGCAGGGGGCTGTGGGTCGGGAGTGAGGGGCGCCGCAGGGCTGGGGGCTGCGGGGCGGGAGTGAGGGGTGCCGGCAGAGCTGGGGGGGGAGCAGGGGGCTGCAGGTAGGAAGTGAGGGGCAGCGGCAGGGCTGGGGGGGAGCAGGGGGCTGCGGGTCGGGAGTGAGGGGCACCGGCAGAGCTGGGGGGGAGCCCAGGGCTGGGCTAGTGGTGAGTTTGGGGGGGGGGGTGGATGCTTACAGGGCCCCACTGTGCACGGTGCCAGGCGCACACACATGCGTCTTCTCTCAGCTCTTCTCCCCCCCCCCCCCCCCCCAGCCCTGGAGGCGCTTTGGGGGAGCCTCGAGAGGCTGCAGGTTGTGACTCAGGCGTGCCGGAACAATTGCCCGGCAGGGGAGGGTTTGCAAAGGGGAGGGCCCCGGATTAATTCCCCGATCACGCCCCCCCCCCGGCCGAAAGGGACTCCTGGCTTTTTAACATGGAGACATCTAAGGTCAGCGCTGCTGCGGTGCGATGGGATATTCCCACAATGCATCTGGGGAAGCTTTCCCGGTGCTGTTGCTGCAGAGCCAGCCGGCGCCTCGTCCTCGCTGCTCCCCCCGCCGGAGTCACAGCCTGGCCAGGGCCCCCCCATCCGCTGTCTGCACAGCGCACCCCCCCGGCTCGTCCCGAGGAGACCGGCTTTCCCCTCCGCCCGGCATGGCTCGCTGCCTCTGAGCAGGGCCATGGAGGAGCCGGGCCAGGGCTGCCCCGAGGCTGGTGGGGGGCACCGGGCCCGCGCTGAGGAGGGTGCGGCGGAGAGCCAGATCCGGAAGGCCGTGGAGTTCAAGGCGGAAGGGAACCGCTGCTACAAGGAGAAGAAATTCCGGGAGGCCATCGGGAAATACCACCGCGCCCTGCTGCAGCTCAAGGGGGTGCAGGGCCGGGCAGGGGCAGCCAGCCCGGAGCAGAGCCCGCCGGACCCGGGGCGGTGCCCGCTGACGGAGGAGCAGCTGCGGCTGGTGGAGAGCACCGAGGTGGAGTGTTACGACAGCTTGACGGGTAGGTGCTGACCCAGGGGCTGTGGGGGATGGACAGACTAGTTACAGCTCATTCCCCCACCTGTCACTTGGCAGAGCCACCATCCGTGGGGGGGGAGACCCCCCGTGCCAGGTAGACATGGGGCCGGATTCTGATCCCAGCCCTTCCCCAGGTCAATCTGGAGTCACTCCTGCCTTCGATGGGTCAGGGCTGGTTCCGATCCCAGCCCCCCTGCCGAGGTCAATCCGGAGTCACTCTGCCTGTGATGGGTCAGGGCTGGTTCCGATCCCAGCCCCCCTGCCGAGGTCAATCCGGAGTCACTCCTGCCTGCGATGGGGCTGGAGTGTCACTCCAGCGGCGCAGCGTTACCAGGGGCTGCTCAGTGGGGCTGGTACCTCTTGCTTTCGCGCCCCACTGCGAATTGACTGACAGGGCCCAGGCAAGGGCCTGCTGTCCGGCTGGGGTCAGTCAGGAGGTGGGCCCCAGAGCTGGGTTGAGGGTTGGGCCCGTATGACATGGGGCCTTGCCCCATGGGCAGCTGTTTACACTGGTGCGCCATGCCCCCTGGCACTTCGCACAAGTGTTTACTGGTGCAAAGCATGAGCGAAACACCCGTGGGAGCAGCCAAGCCGGGGGTCCTGGGCTTCTAGCATCTCCGCGTTGGCGTGTGAGGTGCCCTGCCAGAGCCCCATTGCCGCAACTTGTGCAGCCCGCCGCGGGACCGGCCAAGGGCAGCCCAGGGCCCAGCAGGGGGATGGGGACCCAGGTGGCCGGGCGATGGGGAGGTTCGGGGTCCTGCAGTTCGCAGCTCCCAACGCCCTGGCCACGTGCGTCCGCCTGTCACCGAGTCGGGCCGCGGGGGGAAGCCCCAGGGAACCGCCTCGTCCAGCCCCCATGCAGGCTCCAGAGAGCGGGGCCCTGGGCCGCAGCTGGGACCCACGTGTGCCAGGCCACAGGGGACCCCACGGGAGCCTCTCGTGAGCAATTCCCCAGGGGACCCCACGTGGCTGCAGGGTGGGGCAGGGGCTGCCTGGGAAACACTTTTGTTTTCAATTGACTCACATCCTGTGGCCAGCCCCTCACCTGGGATACTAGGGGCTGCGGGTCGGGAGTGAGGGGCACCGGCAGGGCTGGGGGGGAGCCCAGGGTTGGGGTAGCAGGGGCTGCGGGTCGGGAGTGAGGGGCACCGGCGGGGCAGGGGGGAGCCCAGGGCCAGGGTAGCAGGGGCTGCGGGTCGGGAGTGAGGGGCACCGGCAGGGCTGGGGGCAGGGGGGAGCCCAGGGCCGGGGTAGCAGGGGCTGCGGGTCGGGAGTGAGGGGCACCGGCAGGGCTGGGGGCAGGGGGGAGCCCAGGGCCGGGGTAGCAGGGGCTGCGGGTCGGGAGTGAGGGGCACCGGCGGGACAGGGGGGAGCCCAGGGCCGGGGTAGCAGGGGCTGCGGGTCGGGAGTGAGGGGCACCGGCAGGGCAGGGGGGAGCCCAGGGCCGGGGTAGCAGGCGCTGCGGGTCGGGGAGTGAGGGGCACCGGCAGGGCTGGGGGGCAGGGGGGAGCCCAGGGCCGGGGTAGCAGGGGCTGCGGGTCGGGAGTGAGGGGCACCGGCAGGGCTGGGGGGCAGGGGGGAGCCCAGGGCCGGGGTAGCAGGGGCTGTGGGTCAGGAGTGAGGGGCACCGGCGGGGCAGGGGGGAGCCCAGGGCCGGGGTAGCAGGGGCTGCGGGTCGGGAGTGAGGGGCACCGGCAGGGCTGGGGGCAGGGGGGAGCCCAGGGCCGGGGTAGCAGGGGCTGCGGGTCGGGAGTGAGGGGCACCGGCAGGGCTGGGGGCAGGGGGGAGCCCAGGGCCGGGGTAGCAGGGGCTGTGGGTCGGGAGTGAGGGGCACCGGCAGGGCTGGGGGGCGGGGAGGAGCCCTGAGCTGGGGACCAGGAAGGTAGCGAACGGAGCTCGGCTCCCCTGGGTCCCAGCCACGCAGGGGTCAGGGCGCGGCGGGCGAGGGGTGGGCGTCCCGTCGCCAGCCCCACTGACGGCCCCTCTGCCCTGCCCAGCCTGCCTGCTGCAGTCAGAGCTGGTGAACTACGAGCGGGTGCGGGAATATTGCCTGAAAGTGCTGGAGAAACAAGGCAGCAACTTCAAAGCCACGTACCGGGCGGGCATCGCCTCCTACCACCTCGGGGACTACGCCCGCGCCCTGCTCTACCTGAAGGAGGCCAAGAGCCGGGAGCCCGCAGGTGAGGGGCCGGAGCAAGCGCCATGCATGGCCTTGGTCCTGCTACGGGGCGCTGGGCTGCTGGGAGCGGGGTGGGAGGCTCAGCGGGGGGGTCTCCCCTGGCAGGCAGGGCTGGTCCCATGGGGCGCTGGGGGGGCGGGGGCTCAGCGGGGGGGTCTCCCCTGGCAGGCAGGGACAGCCCCGTGGGGTGCTGGGGGGGCGGGGGCTCAGCGGGGGGGTCTCCCCTGGCAGGCAGGGACAGCCCCATGGGGTGCTGGGGGGGCGGGGGCTCAGCAGGGGGGGTCTCCCCTGACGGAGCTGGCCCCGTGGGGCACTGGGGGGCGGGGGCTCAGCAGGGGGCGCTCGGGGGGCAGGGTGGGGGGCGGGGGCTGGGCGTGAATTTCCCCCTGAGCCCTTTCCCCTTTTCCCCAGACACCAATGTCCTGCGTTACATCCAGCTGACGGAGCTGAAGATCCTGCGTCGTGGGCAGCGGGACGGCTACAAGGAGCTGATTGCATAGGGCCCCCGCGGCCCCCCGGGCAGAGCGCTTGGTGCCCGGCAGTCTCCTCCTTTCCTTTCCCCCTCCGAGGGGGGGGCTCTGCGGGGGGTGAGTCCTAATGCACGATGACCCCCATCCCCTGCCTGGGGCAGATCCCCCCTGGCCCCCCCAGTGATGCCAGGGGGAGCCCCCACAGCTCTGGTGAGGGGATAAATTGACCCCATGGCATCAAGCAAATTGTCCCCCCATGGCTTCCTGGGGGGGGACATCTGTGGTGGGGGGACGGCACCCCCCCCCCCAGAACACACAAGCAGCCTGCCTGGTGGTGGTTGCAGCCCCTGGTCTGTGAGACTGCCCCCCCACCCCAGCCCCATAGTGGAATTTGATGGGGTGGGACCCACCTTCCCCCCAGGGTTGTTATGGCATCAGGAGGGGTGATGGGAAGGGGGGACATCTGCAGAACCAGATTCCCCCCCCACAGGGCCCAACTCCCCTGCCCCACCTGGCATGGAGCCCCTCCTTTCACCACCCCATGCCCCACCAGTGCTGGGGGGCAGAGCCCACCGCAGCGACTGTCCCACCCCGCCAGGGCCAGTTGCTGCCCCCCCACGCAGCTGATGGCGATTTCTCCCCCCCCCCCCCAAATTCACAGCACGCCACGGGGCCGCTGGGCTCGTTTCCCTCCCTGCCCCCCTGTGGGGCCCAGCCCCCCACGAACAAGGCTGCACCCTGCCCCCAACATGGGCCACGCAGGATCCCGGGGAGGGGGTGGGGGGGCTACAGAAGGGTGACGGGAGGAAGAGGCCAACCCCCCCCCCCCCCAGCTGCCCCCTGCCCCACCTCTGACCGAGGAGCCGTAGAGCAGCTGGGCCTGTGCTGGGAGTGACGTGGGTCCTGCGGGGGGTGACGTGGGGGGCAGAGACCCGGGGGCTGCATTTGGGGTGGCCGTGGACTATGGCATCGCTGTGATTTCTTGTCGAGGGTTTATTCTCCCTCCCCCACCGTAGACGCTATAAAATCCGTGTTGATTTTCTCCTGTCCTCCCTTTATTTCTGCTCTGGGGGGGACCGGGATCGGGGGGGCTGTACCGGGGGCTGCCCGGCTGGTGTTGCCAGCGTGGCCCAAGGACGTTGCCCCTGACCCTGCCCAGGGCCGGCAGCATTGGGCCTTTTCCTTAATCCGCCGTGGGCCTTGGCCCCAGGCAGCCGCAGCAGTCGGAGAACGGCCTGGAGTTTGCCTGAGTCTGCAGGCAACCTGCCGGCCCGGCGGTGGGGCACTGCCCATTCCCACCAAGCCTGGGGCTGCTCCCAGGGGGGCAGGGCATCAGGGTGGGAGCGTGGATCACGCCTCAGGCCCCCATCCCTGGGGCCGGGAGCATGCGCCTGGCTCTGCGGGGGACGGTCCTGGTGTCTTGGTGGCGTTCCGGCCCAGCCCGGGGGGATTGGGGGGAGACCGGACAGGCCGGCCTAGGGGCGTGTGGGGCTGGCAGGGCAGAGTGGGCCCTGGCCAGAGCGAGGCCCAGCACCCAGCCTCCTGGGTGGAGGGACGGGACGGCCACAGCTAGAAGCCCTACACCCCAGGCCGTGCCCAGAGCCGGGTGGTGAACCCAGGAGTCCTGGCTCCCAGCTGCCCCCCCCCCCCTGACCACTAGAAGGGGGGATCAGGCCCCAGGCATGGAGGGGGAGACGCTGCGTTTCCCAGCATGGCCCTGTGACGATGTGACTCAGCAGGGAGGGGGGAGTGTTGACCTGGGAATGTGCCCTGGGGATGGGAGACCTGAGAGCCTGTCACCTGAGCCAGGAGGGGGAGGGGGAGGTGACACCTCTGCCCAGGAATGTGAACAGAGGCTGCAGCAGGGAACCTGCTGGGGGGGGTTTAGTTGCCAGTTGGGGGCTGGGGGGAGGAACACAGGGAACCCCAGGGCTGGGGTCTAAGCTCCCTGCTCCCCCAGAAGGACGTGATTGAGGGGTCCTGGTTGTACCCACAAGCTCTGTTGGGGACTGTGTTCCTGTTGTCCAATAAACCTTCTGTTTTACTGGCTGGCTGAGAGTCTCAGTGGATCCCAGGAAGAGGGGTGCAGGGCCTGGACTCCCCCACACTCCGTGACAGGCCCAACCTGGGGGGGGGGGGAGCTATTCCGCCTCCAGCCCGTCAGCAGCGATGCTCTTGTCACCCTCTATGGTAACCATGGCAACACAGCTGAGATGGACCCTAAGGCTCCCCCCAGGTGCAAGGCAGAGGAGGGGGGGATGTGAGCCAGGACTCCTGGGTTCTCTCCCAGCTCTGGGAGGGGTGTGGGGGGTCTAGTGGTTAGAGCAGGGGGGCTGGGAGCCTGGGTTCTCTCCCAGCTCTGGGAGGGGCGTGGGGGGTCTAGTGGTTAGAGCAGGGGGGCTGGGAGCCAGGAAGCCTGGGTTCTCTCCCAGCTCTGGGAGGGGCGTGGGGGTCTAGTGGTTGGAGCAGGGGAGGCTGGGAGCCAGGACGCCTGGGTTCTCTCCCAGCTCTGGGAGGGGTGTGGGGGTCTAGTGGTTGGAGCAGGGGAGGCTGGGAGCCAGGACGCCTGGGTTCTCTCCCAGCTCTGGGAGGGGGCTGGGAGCCAGGCCTCACTGGCGGGTGGGATTGCCGGGCCCTGCCTGCCCCCTCGTGGCCATGGGCAGTACTGCAGCAGGCCCAGAGGCTGGGAGTTGTTGGGGTCCGGGGGCAGAACTTGGGGTGATCCCTTGGGAATCAGGATGCAGCAGCAAGCGCCCCAGGGGTGCACTGTTGGCCTGGCCGATCCCACGGGGCCCTGTGGCACTGGGGGCAGGACAGGGCTGGCCTGGGCCCAGCACTGGTGGTGTCAGGGTTTAGTCAGGCCCCGCCCTGTGCAGGATCAGGGCCGTGGCTCAGCCCCTGGGTGCGAGGGCTGGCACAGGCTGTGCAGGGGCAGCACCGGGCACCGAACCCAGGTGTCCTGCATCCCAACCGGCCCCTCTGGGGGAACGGCGTCAAACCCAGGGCAGCCTCACTCCGTCCCCTGCCCTGCCGAGCTGGCTGCGCCCTGGGCAGCGAGCAGAAACCTGGGCGCAAACCAGCCTCTGAACACCGGGTGCAAAGCTGAGGGGGCCATAACCTCTCTCCGCGCCCCGGCCCGCGTCACCAGACTCCTGGGTTCCGTTCCCTGTTCAGGGAGGGGCTGGAGGCCAGCAGGTAAAGAAGGGGAGAATGGGACTGACGAACTCCGGAGGGGCCCAGTGAGAGGAGTCCCCATCTGAACAGTCCCCATGCTCTACCCCAGAGACGGCTGCATCTCAACACCAGGTGAGGGGGTCCCTGGATAAACAGCTCTCAAGTCCCACCCCAGAGGTGGCTGCATCTTGGTGCCAGGTGAGGGGGTCCCTGTAAGCACTGGAGGGCTCAGCTGCATGCATGACACCTTGGGCTGGAAATGAGGCCTGAAGGCTGCGAGTTAATGAATAAGTTCACGGGGGACAAGCACCCCCTGCTGGCTCAGAAAGCGTCTTTTTTTTTTTTTTTTTTTTACAAACACCACATGGAATTTAAATAGGGGTGGGGGTTCTTAACCCCCCATCAATAAATACACATGCTCCCCTCCCCCACAATTCCCTTCCCAACCCTGCTTCTCTGGGGCAGCAGCTTCTCCCACAGCAGAACCTTTGGAGCGGTTGGTGGGTGCGGTGGGATCTCAGCCTGCTGAGGGTGGGGAATGGGGTCAGCAGCAGAGTGGGGGATGGTAGAGCAGGCGCACAGTAAAGAGGCTGGTCCATCCAAGAGGCCCCCCCCGCCCCCAGGTAGGTCTGGTGCCCCACACCGGCTGTGGGGGGGGTGTACATTCATGGGTGGTTCCCTGGTCTCCGGGGGGCGCAGTGCCAGGTCAATGGGACATGTCGGCGTCCAGGCTGCTGGAGTGCAGTGCCCCCCCACAGAGGGGCACCGTGCTGTCCTTGCTCTGACCCTCCATGTCTATGTCCAGCAGCGTCTGGCGGGCACTGGCGGGGTCCGGTGGCTCCCCACCGACCCTGCCCTGCTCCCCCTGCGTCTCGCACCCGCTGCCCGGGGACGCGCGGTGAGTCCTTCCGAAGGAGACGAGTTTCCAGGGGTCGAGGCGGGAGCGGGAGGGCGAGGGGCGGGGCCGGGGCGCGAACTCCAGGGTCTTGGGGCGCTCCACAGCCGGGTCCTTCTCAGGGGGCCTGCGCCGTGCCGGGGGTGGGAAGAGCGTGGGGGGGTCCAGGGTCTCCTGGGAGCCTGTGGGGAGGGGGGAGGAAACCATCTTAGCTGGCCTGGGTGACTGCAGCCCATTAGCCCCCCCAGAATCCCCCCATAAAGCCCCCCTGAACCACAGGCCCCCTCCCTCCACCTCACAGTCCCAACTCCTCACACCGCCTCCACCCCCCCCCAGCACCACTCCCCAGGCACCCCACCCAGGCCCTCCATGGGGAGCAGGGAGCCCGGACTCCTGGATTCGACCCCTGGCTCTGGCAGGGGGAGTGGGGCCTAGGGAGTTGGGGGGGGGATGAGAAATGAGGGCCCCAGGGACCCCAGAACCTGGGAGGTGGGAGCTGGGGACCCCAACAGGCTGGTGAGGTGGGGTGGGCTGTGGTGGGGCATGGGTGTGATAGACGCAGGGATGGGCAGGTCAGCGAGGGGGACGGGGAGGCAGGGAGGGGCTGGGGGGGTGAGGGGGGGGTTGGGGAGGCAGGGAGGGGCGGGGGGTGAGAAGGGGGTTGAGGTTGGGGGTCAGGGAGGGGCTGGGGGTGAGGAGGGGGTTGGCGTGGAGGGTCAGGGAGGGGCTGAGGAGCGGGTTGGGGGTCAGGGAGGGGCCGCGGGGGGCACGACCCCTGTATCATGTTGCTCAGGGGGGCGCTGGGGCACCCCCCACTCACCGGCCGTGGGCGCCCCCTGCTGGCTGAGCGCAGCCTGGCGCAGGGCCCCGTCTGAGGGCGTGCGTCGGTGCCCACGGGTCACCACCTGGGCGGCCGTCACGTGGGTGGGCGTCAGCGACTGGCGCGGGCCCCTCTTGAAGCTCTCGGCCCGGAGGTCCAGCAGGGGGTTGTGGGCGGGGGGGGCGCTGGGGGGGGCCCCGTGGGGCGGGGGGCCGGGCCGGGCGGCTCCTCGGCCGCGGGCAGCAGGGACTTGGTGGAGTTGCACTCGCAGAGGGAGGAGAGCGAGAGCAGCGTGAGGGAGCTGGGGGGCCCCTCGCCCCGCCGGGAGCAGCCCCCCCGCGGGAACGGGCCCCCCGCCAACTCCCGGCCCAGCTCCAGCAGGTCGCTGCCCAGCCCCACGGAGGCCAGGACGGAGGCGCAGCCCAGCAGAGCCCACTCGCTGCGCCTGTGGGGCCCGGCTCGGTGCAGGCCCTCGGCGCCAGGGGGCAGCTCGTCCGCGGGCCCGGGGGCTTGGTCCTCGCCCCCCGGCAGGGGGAGGGGCGGGTAGGGGGAGTGGGGGGTGCTGCCCTCCGCCTCCGCGTACTCCTCTGGGGAGAGACAGACAGACAGACAGACGGACAGGGGTCAGCGCCAGGGGAGGGGCACAGCGACCCCCCCATCCCTTGCCCATGGGCCCCTCCCGCTGGGCCTTCGCCCCCCATCTCCCTCTTCTGGGCCCTGGCATCCCCTGGGGGGCGTCGGGCTCCTTGCCCTGAGGCCTCTAAGCCAGCCAGGCTCCAGGGTGCTGGGCTGGGGGGTGGCTAGCACGGCCCCTCGCCCCACGGCTGGAGGCACCAAGCCCCCCTGCTACTTCCCCCGACATGCCCCCCCACGCTGCCCTCACGCCTCGGGGCCTGGGCCCCGCCCCCCCACGTACCCATCTCCGTCAGGCTGGCGAAGCCCCCTGCCATGGGGGCACGTTTCGGGGACTTGCCCAGGTTGGGGGCGCTGGACGACCACTGCTTGCTGCCCTCGCCCAGAGCCTTCAGCCTGCGCCAGGAGAGACGGTGAGATGGCTACGAAGTGAGTGCCCCCCGTGCCACCCTGCCGGTGCCCCTCCCTCCCGACCCGCAGCCCCCTGCCAGCCCAGCACTGGGCCCCCCCAGCCCTGCCGGTGCCCCTCGCTCCCGACCCACAGCCCCTGCCAGCCCAGCCCTGGGCCCCCCCAGCTCTGCAGGTGCCCCTCACCCCCGACCCGCAGTCCCTGCTAGCCCAGTCCTGCCCCCCAGCTCTGCCGGTGCCCCTCACTCCCAACCCATGGCCCCCTGCCAGCCCAGCCATGAGCTCCCCGCCATCCAGCCGGTGCCCCTCACTCTCTGGCCCCATACCGCTCCTCCCCACCGAGCCGCTCCTTCTGCAGTGTGGAGCTGGGCCCCCACGTGCGCCCCTTCTTCTTGTTGCCCCCCAGCTCCTCCTTCTTCAGCCCCGCGCTGCGGCCCCACGTCTGGCTGCCGTCCACGGGCGTGACTGCAACGAGGGGGTTAGTGGGACGAGTCTCCCGCACGGCAGTTCATCGGGACCCGGGGGGCGGGAGGGGGGATTCTGGGCTCAGTACCCCTCCCAGTAGGAGCTATGGAGTGGGGGGAGCGGGGAGATGGCCGGGGGGCGTCTCCCCAGGGTTACCGCCCAGTGCGGGGGGAGGGGGGAGACATTGGCTCATAATGCGCCAGTTCTTGGGTCTGGTCCTGGTTCCTGGATCCGGGACAGGAGCCGCAACCATTCCCCGGCCCCGTAGGGACCAGCCCGCACAGCCGGCCTCCGGGGCAGCCCCACAGGGTGCCTGGCCTGAGGCCTGGGCAGCAGAGACCCAGCAAGGGAAGGAGGAATCATGGCAGAGCTGGGGGGCAAATTCACACGGATGGTCCGCAGGTGTGGGGGGGACTATGGAGGGTGATGGGGGGCTACGGGAGGTAATGGGGTACTCACGGCGGGTGGCCCACAGACGGGGGTTGGGGGACTATGGGGAGTGATGGGGGGGAATGGGGCACTCACGGCGGGTGGCCCACAGACAGGGGTTGGGGGGCTATGGGAAGTGATGGGGTACTCATGGCGGATGGCCCACAGATGGGGGTTGGGGGGCTATGGGGAGTGATGGGGGGAATGGGGTACTCACGGCGGATGGCCCAGAGACAGGGGTTGGGGGGCTATGGGGAGTGATGGGGTACTCACGGCGGATGGCCCACAGACGGGGGTTGGGGGGCTATGGGGAGTGATGGGGGGAATGGTACTCACGGCGGATGGCCCACAGACAGGGGTTGGGGGGCTATGGGGGGTAATGGGGTACTCATGGCGGATGGCCCACAGGCAGGGTCTGGGGGGCTATGGGGGGTGATGGGGGGGAATGGGGTACTCACGGCGGATGGCCCACAGATGGGGGTTGGGGGGCTATGGGGGGTAATGGGGTACTCACGGCGGATGGCCCACAGACGGGGGTTGGGGGGCTATGGGGGGTAATGGGGTACTCACGGCGGAAGGCCCACAGGCAGGGTCTGGGGGGGCTATGGGGGGTGATGGGGGGGAATGGGGTACTCACGGCGGAAGGCCCACAGGCAGGGTCTGGGGGGGCTATGGGGGGTGATGGGGGGGAACGGGGACTCACGGCGGATGGCCCGCAGGCGGGGGATGATGATGGGGCTCGCAGGGGGGCTGGTGCCGTTGGCTCCGGTGCCTTTCCGCTTGTCCAGGGTGGGCGACGCCTGCACCGTGATCTTGTGTTGGAAGCCTGGGGGGAGAGAGGCCAGGTCAGCCCGGAGCCCCAGCCCCCCTGGAGCCCCCCAAGGCAGCGGTTACAGCGGCGGGCGCCCTGCAGTGCCACAGATCTCCCCAAGCAGGTTCGGGGCCCTGACTTCTGGTAGCCTGACACAGCGGGCGGGGCAGGGCCGGTGGTTATGGGGCATATGGGGGATATGGGGAGTATGCAGGGAATATGGGGCATACAGTGGAGTTATGGGGCGTACGGGGGGTAATGGGGCATACGGGGTGGATATGGGGCATAATGGGGGGTTATGTGGTGTATCGGGGTTATGGGGCATATCTGGGGATGTGGGGAATACAGGGCGGAAATGGGGCGTATATGGGGCATACGGGGAAGTTATGGGGCATACAGGGGAGTTATGGGGCAAATGCGGGGGTTATGGAGCATACGGGGGATATGGGGAGTATGGGGGGAATATGGGGCATACAGTGGAGTTATGGGGCGTACGGGGGGTTATGGGGTGTATCAGGGTTATGGGGCATATGTGGGGATGTGGGGAATACAGGGTGGAAATGGGGCGTATATGGGGCATAAGGGGAAGTTATGGGGCATACGGGGGGTTATGGGAGATATGGGGCATACAGGGGAGTTATGGGGCAAATGCAGGGGTTATGGGGCATACGGGGGGTTATGGGAGATATGGGGCATACAGGGGAGTTATGGGGCAAATGCGGGGGTTATGGAGCATATTGGGGGGTTATGGGGCATACGGGGGGTTATGGGGCATAGAGGGGAGTTATGGGGCAAATGCAGGGGTTATGGGGCATACGGGGGGTTATGGGGCATACGGGGCATACAGGGGAGTTATGGGGCATACAGGGGAGTTATGGGGCATACGGGGGGTTATGGGGCATACGGGGGGTTGGTGGTGGTACAGGAAGTTGCTGAGATAACCGGCCTACGACTTTACCCAACCAAAGGGCCACTGGAGGAGAGCGCAGCTCCCACGGTGCCGTGATGTGACCCGGTAGTAACGAAGCCGGGAGAAGGCGCCAGCCCGGGAGCGACTGGTTCCGCCCAAGGCTGGGTGACGCCTAAGCTGGGCACCAGAGGAGCAGAAAACAAGGGACCAAACGGGCGTCAGGATTTCGGTCTAATTGGTGGACAAACGAAGGCGGCTGGATTGTTCCACCCGTCGCCAGTTTGGGGCCCGGCACAGAGGTGCTGGGGCTCCGGGCAGCTGTGCTGGGAGCATCGTGGCTGCGACACCAGCCCCCGGGCCCTCCCCGCTGAGCACCCCTGGGGTCCAGGGGAGATCCCCGTGACGAAGCGGGACTGTTCTTAATGTGTCCTCTGAACAGTGTGGGGGTGCCTCGGTTTCCCCTAGGCAGTTCTTAAGTCTCCAGGGGGTGGGGTAAGGGTGTATGATCGTTGCAGAGCCCTAGAGGGCAGGTGTGTGCAGGAGTCTGGACACAGAGAATGGCCAACACCCTGTTTCCTGGCCACTGATGGTCTGGGCCCTTCCCCCCTGCAAGGTGAGAGCTAAAGGGCTGGAGAACAAAGGAATCCGGTGACCTCCTGGCCCGGGAAAGGGACAAAGCCCAGAGGAGGAGGGGCTGGAGGGGGAGTCAGTTTGGGGCTGGCTGGGACATGGAGTGAAGGGCAGACGTGGTTGTCTGGCTCACTGCCCCCCAAAATGGACCTGGCTGAGGGGTCCTGTTCTCTGCACCTGCAAGCTCTGTTTTAGACCATGTTCCTGTCATCTAATAAACCTTCTGTTTCCTCGGATGGCTGAGAGTCCCGTCTGACTGCGGAGTTGGGGGCAGGACCCTCTGGCTTCCCCAGGACCCTGCCTGAGCGGACTCGCTGTGGGAAGCACACGGAGAGGCAGGGGATGCTGAATGCTCCGAGGTCAGACCCAGGAAGGTGGAAGCCGGGTGAGCTGTGTGTCCTGCAGACAGGCTGCTCCCAGAGAGGAGACTCCCCCAGAGTCCTGCCTGGCTTCGTAGGGAGCAGTTCCAGAGCATCGCCCGGGGACCCCGAGACAATCCCAAAGAGAGTGGGGAAACAAGAGGGCCTGGCCAGCTCCGCTGGCCCGAGCAGGACCTATGCAGGAGGGGGACCTGACCATGCCAGCCAGACGGCATCCCTATGCGGGGTCCAGAGCAACAGCTGGCATGGCCAACCTGCCCGCCCAGAGCGTCCCCTGTGGCCAAGCTGCCCCGGATCCTGAGGAGATTGGCTAGAGCCCCATCTCTCCTCTCCCACCCGTGTCTGCGGTGGCCACGGCAGGAAGGTGACTGTCAGTCTCAGGGGCGTAGCTGGGCTGGTCCCCGGATGTTAGAGACGAGGGGGGAGGAGACATCAGGAGCAGAGCTCTGCCAAGCTCGTCTCTCACCAACAGGAGCTGGTCCCCCCCACAATCTCTCTCGCCCCTGATTCAGAACCGAACGAGAGAACTAACCCCCTCAGCAAGAGACATGCACTGTGATAGGGCACTGGCCCCACCCTGGCCTCTAAGGGGTTACTCGAGGCCTGGGGAAGTTGTGCAGGAGGCAGCCAATTTGAGAGGGGCTGAGAGAAACAGCCAGTCAGGGCCCGGCAGGCCCATATAAGAAGAGCTGCAGGGCCAGGCAGGGCCAGTGACCCTTTGGAGCTGCAGGAGGCAGGGTGGGCAGCCGGCAGCCTTGAGGGAGCAGAGCCGCTCGCAGGGACCGGGGGCGCTGGCGAGAACTCCTGCCTGGCTGCTGGGATTTGCAGGCTGATGCAAGGGCGAAGAGGGTGGTGGGCCGTGGGGAAGTGGCCGGACAACTGGCTGCCGTCACTGCTGGGGAAGTGGTGGGATAGCTGGACTGCAGCACTCGCGCCTGGAAAGGAGGGGTGCAGGGCTGGGGGGCTGCATGACAGAGGATGCTGTGGTCCTTGGAGTGATGTGGGTCCAGGAGCGGATGTGACAGTGGGCGAGGCACCATTGGGTGACTGTGTGCCAACCTGTGGGGCTAATCCCATGGTGGGGGTGGGGGGTACCTGAGGGCAGGCTGAGGTGGTTGTCTAGCACAGGAGGGCTGGTAGGGGTGCAGGGGGGCTGGTGGGGGGCAGGGGTTGCAGCAGGTACCTGAGGGCAGGCTGATGTGGGCGGGGGGCACAGAGGGGCCGGTGGGGGGATGCAGCGGGTACCTGAGGGCAGGCTGATGTGGCTGGGGGCCACAGGGGGGCCGGTGGGTACCTGAGAGCAGGCTGATGTGGGCGGGGGGCACAGAGGGGCCGGCGGGGGTTGCACCAGGTACCTGAGGGCAGGCTGATGTGGGCGGAGGGCACAGGGGAGCCGGCGGGGGGGCACAGGGGGCCGGCGGGGGGCACAGGGGGTACCTGAGGGCAGGCTGATGTGGGCGGAGGGCACAGGGGGGCACAGCGGGTACCTGAGGGCAGGCTGATGTGGGCGGGGGGCACAGGGGGGCCGGCGGGGGGCACAGGGGGGCACAGGGTTACCTGAGGGCAGGCTGATGTGGGCGGAGGGCACAGGGGGGGCACAGCGGGTACCTGAGGGCAGGCTGATGTGGGCGGGGGGCACAGGGGGGCCGGCGGGGGGCACAGCGGGTACCTGAGGGCAGGCTGATGTGGGCGGGGGGCACAGGGGGGCCAGCGGGGGGCACAGGGGGTACCTGAGGGCAGGCTGATGTGGGCGGGGGGCACAGGGGGGCACAGCGGGTACCTGAGGGCAGGCTGGTGTGGGCGGGGGGCACAGGGGGCCGGCGGGGGGCACAGGGGGTACCTGAGGGCAGGCTGATGTGGGCGGGGGGCACAGGGGGGCCGGCAGGGGGCAGAGGGGGGCACAGGGGGTACCTGAGGGCAGGCTGATGTGGGCGGGGGGCACAGGGGGGCTGGCGGGGGCACAACGGGTACCTGAGGGCAGGCTGATGTGGGCAGGGGGCACAGGGGGGCCGGCGGGGGGCACAGGGGGTACCTGAGGGCAGGCTGATGTGGGCGGGGGGCACAGGGGGGCCGGCGGGGGGCACAGGGGGGCACAGGGGGTACCTGAGGGCAGGCTGATGTGGGCGGAGGGCACAGGGGGGCCGGTGGGGGGCACAGCGGGTACCTGAGGGCAGGCTGATGTGGGCGGGGGGCACAGGGGGGCCGGCGGGGGGCACAGGGGGTACCTGAGGGCAGGCTGATGTGGGCGGGGGGCACAGGGGGGCCAGCGGGGGGCACAGGGGGGCACAGCGGGTACCTGAGGGCAGGCTGATGTGGGCGGGGGGCACAGGGGGCCAGCGGGGGGCACAGGGGGTACCTGAGGGCAGGCTGATGTGGGCGGGGGGCACAGGAGGGCACAGGGGGGCACAGCGGGTACCTGAGGGCAGGCTGATGTGGGCGGGGGGCACAGGGGGGGGGGGCACAGGGGGGCACAGCGGGTACCTGAGGGCAGGCTGATGTGGGCGGGGGGCACAGGGGGGCCAGCGGGGGTCACAGGGGGGCACAGGGGGTACCTGAGGGCAGGCTGATGTGGGCGGGGGGCACAGGGGCCGGCGGGGGGCACAGGGGGTACCTGAGGGCAGGCTGATGTGGGCGGGGGGCACAGGCGGGCACAAGGGGGCCGGCGGGGGGCACAGCGGGTACCTGAGGGCAGGCTGATGTGGGCGGGGGGCACAGGGGGGCCGGTGGGGGTTGCAGCGGGTACCTGAGGGCAGGCTGATGTGGCTGGGGGCCACAGGGGGGCCAGGGCGGGTACCTGAGAGCAGGCTGATGTGGGCAGGGGGCACAGAAGGGCCGGTGGGGGTTGTAGCAGGTACCTGAGAGCAGGCTGATGTGGGCGGGGGGCACAGAGGGGCCGGCGGGGGTTGCACCAGGTACCTGAGGGCAGGCTGATGTGGGCGGGGGGCACAGGGGGGCACAGCGGGTACCTGAGGGCAGGCTGATGTGGGCGGGGGGCACAGAGGGGCCGGTGGGGGGGCACACAGGGGCACAGGGGGGCCGGCGGGGGCACAGGGTTACCTGAGGGCAGGCTGATGTGGGCGGGGGGCCGGCGGGGGTCACAGCGGGTACCTGAGGGCAGGCTGATGTGGGCGGGGGGCACAGGGGGCCGGCAGGGGGCACAGGGGGTACCTGAGGGCAGGCTGATGTGGGCGGGGGGCACAGGGGGGCCGGCAGGGGGGCACAGGGGGGCACAGGGGGTACCTGAGGGCAGGCTGATGTGGGCGGGGGGCACAGGGGGCCGGCGGGGGGCACAGCGGGTACCTGAGGGCAGGCTGATGTGGGCAGGGGGCACAGGGGGCCGGGGGCGACAGGGGGTACCTGAGGGCAGACTGATGTGGGCGGGGGGCACAGGGGGGCCAGCGGGGGGCACAGGGGGGCACAGGGGGTACCTGAGGGCAGGCTGATGTGGGCGGGGGGCACAGGGGGGCACAGCGGGTACCTGAGGGCAGGCTGATGTGGGCGGGGGCACAGGGGGCAGGCGGGGGGCACAGGGGGGCACAGCGGGTACCTGAGGGCAGGCTGATGTGGGCTGGGGGCACAGGGGGGCCAGCGGGGGTCACAGGGGGGCACAGGGGGTACCTGAGGGCAGGCTGATGTGGGCGGGGGGCACAGGGGGGCCGGCGGGGGGCACCGGGGGTCCCTGAGGGCAGGCTGATGTGGGCGGGGGGCACAGGGGGGCCGGCGGGGGGGCACAGGGGGGCACAGCGGGTACCTGAGGGCAGGCTGATGTGGGCGGGGGGCACAGGGGGGCACAGCGGGTTCCTGAGGGCAGGCTGATGTGGGCGGGGGGCACAGGGGGTCCGGCGGGGGGCACAGGGGGTACCTGAGGGCAGGCTGATGTGGGCGGGCGGCACAGGGGGGCACAGCGGGTACCTGAGGGCAGGCTGATGTGGCGGGGGGCACAGGGGGCCGGCGGGGGGCACAGGGGGTACCTGAGGGCAGGCTGATGTGGGCGGGGGGCACGGGGGCACAGGGGGGCCGGCGGGGGGCACAGCGGGTACCTGAGGGCAGGCTGATGTGGGCGGGGGGCACAGGGGGGCCGGCGGGGGGCACAGCGGGTACCTGAGGGCAGGCTGATGTCGGCGGGGGGCACAGGGGGGCCGGCGGGGGGCACAGGGGGTACCTGAGGGCAGGCTGATGTGGGCGGCGGGCACAGGGGGGCCGGCGGGGGGCACAGCGGGTACCTGAGGGCAGGCTGATGTCGGCGGGGGCACAGGGGGCCGGCGGGGGGCACAGGGGGTACCTGAGGGCAGGCTGAGGTGGGCGGGGGCACAGGGGGGCCGGCGGGGGCACAGGGGTACCTGAGGGCAGGCTGATGTGGGCGGGGGGCACAGGGGGGCCGGCGGGGGCACAGCGGGTACCTGAGGGCAGGCTGAGGTGGGCGGGGGGCACAGGGGGCCGGCGGGGGCACAGGGGGTACCTGAGGGCAGGCTGAGGTGGGCGGGGGCACAGGGGGCCGGCGGGGGGCACAGGGGTACCTGAGGGCAGGCTGATGTCGGCGGGGGGGCACAGGGGGGCCGGCAGGGGGCACAGGGGGTACCTGAGGGCAGGCTGATGTGGGCGGCGGGCACAGGGGGGCCGGCGGGGGGCACAGCGGGTACCTGAGGGCAGGCTGATGTGGGCGGGGGGCACAGGGGGGCCGGCGGGGGGCACAGGGGGTACCTGAGGGCAGGCTGATGCGGTTCCCGTCCCGCAGCTTGAGGCGGCTGCGTTTGAAGTGGCCCTTGCGCCCCTTGACCCGGGGCCGCTCCTGGTGCAGCTGGTCCATGAGCAGGTGCAGTTCGCGCTGGACGATGTCGATCTCGCGGGCGGCCAGCTCCTGCTCGCGCCGCCGGAGCTCCTCCTCCTGCGTCTTCTGCTCCTGGGCCGCCCGCAGCAGCTCCTCCTCCCGGCTCCGCAGCTCCTGGGGCACGGGGGGCACAGTGTGGGGCACGGGCCGGCACCCGGGAGGGCCGTGGGGCGGGCAGTAGGGGGGTACCAGGAGGGATCGGGCGCTGGGGGAGCTGTGAGGGGATGGGAGGCGACCCAAAGGGGGGCTGTGCCATGCACGGGCAGTATGGGGGGGTCCCAGGAGGGATCAGTGGCTGGGGGAGCTGTGGGGGGACCGAAGGGGGGCTGTGTTGGGGGGGGCTGCAATCCGGGGGGGTAGGGGGTCCCACTGACCTTTTCCTTGGTGCGCAGTTCACTGAACATGTGCTGGATTTCCAGCTTCCAGTCGTCCTGCAGCGAGTGGAAGACGTCGAGGGCCATGGAGAACATGGCCGAGTGCTCGATGGCCACCAGCCGCCCCAGGATGCTCCCGAAGGGTGGCCGGGCATGTGGGTCGGGGTCCCAGCATTCTGTGGGGAGAGAGAATCAGCCAGGCCCAGGGGCACCCCCAGAGCCCCCTCCCTCGCACCCCCCGTCTCCCCTGGGCACTCACCTGCCAGCAGGCGGGCGAAGGGCTCGGGGCAGGTGGAGGGAATGGGCAGCGTCAACTTGTTCATGGCCACGCCGTAGGCCACGGCCAGCGCGTCGATCTCCCGGTACGGCACCTCCCCGGTCAGCAGTTCCCACAGCAGCACCCCAAAACTGCAGCACAGGGACAGGCTGGGCTGGGGGGGGCGCCGAGCATGGGTCTGGGGGTTGGAGTGACCCCCCCATCCCACCACGCTGTGAACCCCCCTCCCCCAGCCCGTTGGGATCCCGCCCTCTCCCTCGTACTGATCCCCATTCCCCGCGGGCCCCCCGCTCTGCCCCGGCACCTCCAGACGTCGCTGCTCTTGGAGAAGCGCGAGAGCCGGATGACCTCTGGCGCCATCCAGGCGTAGGTGCCGGCCGCGCTCATCTTGGTGGTCCTGTGCCACTCGCGGGCCAGCCCGAAGTCCGTGATCTTCAGCGTGCGGCCGCCCAGCTCCCCGTCCTCCATCTTCTCCAGGATCAGGACTGGGGGGGGGCAGGAGAGTGAGGGGGGCGTGAGGGGGCACCCAAGGGGAGGGGGCACCCCCTGACTGGAGTACGCCAGGCTGCCATGTCCCTTGACTGCCCCTCCTTTGCCAGGTCAGGGGCCGGGGGAGGGGTCTGGGGCCCCCCTTGCTGCACCCCTGCTGGGGCCCATGCCACAAGATGGGGGGTGGGGTGCACAGGGGTTCATGTGTCTCCATAGCAACTATACAGCCCTGCTCCGGCCTGGTGCTGCTTGGTACTGGTGTGGCCCACTGGCTGCCAGCACATTGGGGTCAGCCCCATGGCCCCACTCAGGGGTGCTTGGGGAAGGGGGGGCGCCGGCTCCCATCCAGCCCCAGGGTGGAGACTGGCTGGCTCAGAGGGACAGGGGCCTGTCCCCGCTAGGGGGCTCCGGCTCCCATCCGGCCCCAGGGCAGGGACTGGCTGGCTCAGGGGGGTGAGGAATGGGGCAGGGGCCTGTCCCCGGTAGGGGGCGCCGGCTCCCATCCGGCCCCAGGGCGGGGACTGGCTGGCTCAGGGGGGCAGGGAATGGGGCACGGGCCTGTCCCCGGTAGGGGGCGCCGGCTCCCATCCGGCCCCAGGGCAGGGACTGGCTGGCGCAGGGGGGCAGGGAATGGGGCACGGGCCTGTCCCCGGTAGGGGGCGCCGGCTCCCATCCGGCCCCAGGGCAGGGACTGGCTGGCTCAGGGGGGCAGGGAATGGGGCAGGGGCCTGTCCCCACTAGGGGGCGCCGGCTCCCATCCGGCCCCAGGGCAGGGACTGGCTGGCTCAGGGGAATGGGGCAGGGGGCCTGTCCCCTCTAGGATGCCAGTCCCATCCTGGTACACCTGCTTTCCTGCCAGCAGCTGTTCAATGTGTGAAGTGAGTTTGGCAGGTCTCAGTCTGTTACCAGTGGTGTGGGCCCCACCCGCATCCCAGGGGCACCCACCCGCCCGGGGAGCCAGTCCTGGGGGCCGGCGCTGCCCCCGCCGGCCCCTCGCCCGGCACTCACTGTTGATGGATTTCAGGTCGCGGTGGATGATGGGCACCACGGCCTCATTGTGCAGGTAGTTCATGCCGCGGGCGATCTGCACGGCCCAGTTCACCAGCACGTCCGGCGGCACCTTCCTGCCGGCCAGGGCTCGGCTGAGGGGGCCGCCCCGGGCGTACTCCATCACCAGGCACAGGTTGGGCGGCTGGAGGCACACGGCCTTCAGGGCAACGATGTTGGGGTGGTGCAACATGCAGAACAGCCGGGCCTCCTGCCGGACGCTCTCGGCCGTGGCGCCGATGTCCTCGTCGGGGTCCTGGCGCGCCGCCTTCACCGCCACCTCCTCCCCCCGCCACGCGCCCTTGTAGACCTTCCCGAAGCCCCCCACCCCGATGATCTCGTCCAGCAGCAGCTCCTGGAAGGAGATCTCCAGCGGCAGAGGGCAGGGCCCGCACGGGGGGCCGCTGGCCACGTAGTCACAGGGGAAGACGCCCACCTTGCCCTCGATTTTCCCCGTCCACCAGCCCTCGTCTCCCGACACGGTGGAGTCCTGAGAGAGCACCTCCACCAGGTCGCCACGCCGCAGCGTCAGCTCCTCTTCCGCCGCTGCCTCGTAGTCGAATACGGCCGTCCAGAAGGGATGGGGCTTGTGGCTCCAGACCCCGCCGCTGTCCTCTGCCCCGTCCCCGGCCTCCTCGCCCGGCAGCGCCTTGTGCCCGGCCTCCATGCTGGGCCCTCCGCGGGGACGGCCGGCCTAGATCGCCGACGGCTGCTGGGACATGCCTCCTGGCTCCGCGCTGGGACAGCCGCCCGCCTTTGCCGGCCCCGGGACTGGCCCCCGGTGCGCGCTCCCAGCTCTGCAGCAGCATCCAGAGCTCCCAGCCCGTCGCCCCTTGGCTGCAGCCCGGCGGGCAGGGGCCGCAGGTGGGTGGGCGGCGCTACGGACTAACCCCCGCAGCCCAACGGCGCGGCTGAGAGCGTGGGCCTTCCGCCGGCCGGCGACGCCGACCCCCCGGGAGCCTGGCTGGGGACCCCTGCACCTCTCAATGGCGCAGCTTCCCTTTGAAGCGAGGGCCCGGCGCGTCCGGCCTTTGCATCTCTGGGCGCCGGCTCTGCCTGGCCGCGGTGCTGAGCGTCGGCCGCGGACTCGCTCAGAAGAAAGGAGGCTTTATTCTTTCTTTGAGGACAGATAAATAGAGGACCCGCCTGCGCGGACAGAGAGCGGGGGCCCGGGCTACACCAGGGACCGGCTCGGAGCCTCGGCTCTCCCCAGCTTGGGTCCGGCTCCGTGAGGCTGGAGGCACCCAGCAGCCCGCGGGCGGTGGGTGACCCGGCGCCGGGGGGTCAGGGCACGAGGGCTCCAGCCGGCGAGGTGGCAGGACGGGCCAGCGCCGCTCACCCGTATGTCACCGGCTCAGGGGCCCGGGCTGGCGGGCACAGGCCAGACCCAGCTGGGACACACCGACTTCCTGCCACCCAGCGGCTGGCAGAGCGTCCTCCTCACCTGCTCCCGGCTGGCGCCCCAGCAAGGTGCACCCACGCCTGGCCCAGCCCTGGCCCCAGCTCGCTGGCTCTCTGCGCGCCCCGCGGGCTGGAAGCCCGCCCAGCAGCACCCCACGGCGGGAGGGCGGGCGGGGGGGGGCACCCCACGGGGGGCGGAGCGGGCACCCCACGGCGGGCGGGGGGGGCACCCCACGGGGGGCGGAGCGGGCACCCCACGGCGGGAGGGCGGGCGGAGGGCGGCGGAGGGGGCACCCCGCGGCGGGCGGAGCGGGCACCCCACGGCGGGAGGGCGGGCGGAGGGGGGCACCCCCCGGCGAGCCCCGCTCCCTTCTCAGCTCGCCTCTGTCAAGCCCGCAGCCTCATCGCCGCAGGGAGCTGCCAGCTCCTCTCTCCGGGCCCCCCCGCGCATCCTCCTCTGCGGCACCGGGGGGCGGGGGGCCGGCGGGGGTCACCCCCCTTTCTACCCCCCACCTGGCTTTGCAGCGGCCAGCGCCTCCCCCCCCCGGAACTGCAGCGCCCGCTCACCCAGCCGGAGATCGGGGTGCAGGGGGGCCCTGGCGGGGGGACGCCGCCCCCCCTCAGCGCATCGCCCCGCTCCGGCGCCTCCCCGGCCCGTGCCAATGGTGTCCGCGCGCTCCGCCGGCCGTCAGCTGGTCTGGGGTGTCCAGGGACCCGGCGAGCCGCCCCGGTGCAGGCTGGGACTCGTAGTTCTCGGGGCCTTTGGGGCGGGGGGGCGGGGGGAGGTTGGGGAGCCCAGCCCCCGGCTGCTGCGCCCCTGCAGGGAGCCCGGGGCCAGGTCGGGCAAGTCGCCTGCTCTGCGCCCAGAGAGCCCGGTGCCTTCGCTGGCCCCCGGCACTGGCCCCCCCCACCGCCGGGCCTGCCAGAGCCCCCAGCCCATCGCCCCTCGGCTGCGGCCCACCGGCCCCCGCACCCCGGAGCCGCCGGCGTCGGAGCCTCCCCCCCCACCGGGCGCCGCGTGCCGGGGTCAACGCGAGGCCCCTGCCACGCCCCGGCTGCGGGGGGCAACGATCCCGAGAGTCGGGGTCGAGACGAGCGAGCTGGCATGTGGGGCGACTTGAGGGGCATCCCACGGGACGCCCTGCCCTCCGCCGGCCTCCCCTGCCCGCCCAGCCAGGTTCACCAGACGGCAGCCGCTGAGCTACGTCATGCGCGGATCCGGGGTGTGGAGGGTCGCTCAGCTCAGCCCCAGCGCTGGAAGGAAACCACGGGTGAACAGCAGTCACGGCCCACCCCAGAGGTGGCTGCATCTCGGTGCTGGGCAAGCGATCCCTGTTTAAACAGCTGCTCCCTCCGCCAACCCCGAGGCAGCTGCAGTTCCCCCTTAGGTAAGTGCTGCCTGGGCCCAGTCGCTGAACAGCCGCTGAACAGCTGCCACATTCCACCCCAGAGGTGGCTGCATTGCAGTGGCTGAGAAAAGCACTGTGTATTGTATGACTGCTTCTGGGTATGACAGTAGCACCCAGAGGTCCCGACCGGGCTGGGGGCGCCCCGGTTGTGCTGGTCGCGGCACAGCGTGAGAGACGGTCCCTGCCCTGAACAGCTCAGTGCGTCGGTATCCTGTGTGCCGGAGGAACGAGCCCAGGGCAGATTTTCTGGTGTCTTAGCAACAACGAGGCAGAGCAACGTGCTGATTACAGGATCATTGTTCTCGCCACACGGAGGTTACCGCAGCCGCAAGCGTAGAGGCCAGAGGGCCTCCCGGGTCCTGCCATCCTGCCCCCCAATCTGTTCCCAGCCCACGTGCGGCAGAGCCAAGGAGAGCTTGCTGGTCTCCGCCTCCCGGGCCCCCAGCGGTACCGCTGGCTCTCCCGTGGCCTTGTCCGGAGGAAGCAGGCACTGGGCACGCTGCGGCACCTGCTCCTGCTTTCCCTGGCCTGGGGACGCCCGCGGGAAGGGCAGCTCGCTGAGCCCAGAGGTGTGGGAGGCTGGCCGGGCACTGGGCCGGAACCCAGGAGACCTGGGGCTGGTCCTGGCTCTGCCACGGCTCTGGCCTAGCGTTGGGCAGGGCGCCATGCAGAGCGTGGGGGAGGGGGACTGGAGCCGTCCAGAGTCACACGGGGCGTCAGCAGCGGAACCAGGGATGGATCCCAGGCGTCCTGAGTCCCAGGCCTCCCCTTGTTCCACCTGGCAGCACTTTGGGGCAGAGCCTGGGCCCCCCGGCACAGCGGTGGCACTGTGAGGGCAGAAACTATGGGCGGGGGTGGCTAGGGAAGCCCAAGGGCAACAACTGGGGGTGTCTGGAGATGGAGGGACAGACATAGGGGAGCCCAGACACACACAATGGGGTGGGCTAGGGAAGGAATCAGCTTCCTGCCCGGGGGCTCCACCTGCGCCCCGTGCTGAGCTATGTGGGGCTGCCGATGGGACCTTGCCGGGTGGGTGGGGCAATCCGTGCTGAGTTGGGGCCCCGGGCCGGCCACCCCCACAGCCACCCCCAAGGCCAGAGCCAGCGATCCAGCCTCAATATTCAAAGAAGGATCCAGGGAGAAAATTCTTCTTTCTGCCCATCCTTCCCTGGAGTCCAGCCAGCCTGTCACCCCTCGCCAGTGTCCATCCATAGAGCCTGGGCAGCTCCAGCCGTGGGCCTCTGCCTCTGGGCACCGCCAGCCTCCCGGCCCGGGTACCCACACCCAGAAGAGCGGGGTGCTGTCGATGCCACAGCGACCCCCTCCCCCGTTGCTGGCTGCGGGAGGCAGCTGATCCACGCGGGCAGGGCACCCGACGTATCGAACACGAGAGTCAAACAGCAGCAGCGTCTCCTGGGGCCGTGACGTGGCACCAGCTTTATTACAGACTTGGCTCCGAACGCAGGGGAGGGGCGGCTGGAGCTGGCCCTCCGGGCAGGGATCGGAGCCACCTTGCGCCGCAGGGTCCCCTGGGCCCCTCTGGCCCTGGCCCTGCTGGGGTGGCGCCGGGGGAGCAGCGCTGGGCTGACTCTGAAGATAGAGCCGCTAGCTCACCAGACAGGCTCTGCCGCGGATCAGAGCCCTGCCCTTCCAGCCCCTCATCCCACCCCCACGTGCAGCTGGGGCTGCTGGCCCTGGCTGACCTGCGGCGCCACCCTCCAGGCCAGGGCCACGCTCCCGAACCGGGCCTCCCCCCGCGGCTGCAGGGTGTGCACATTGTTTTGGTAGCTCAGGGGGATGACGCCGCGGAAGCTGGGCGGCTCAGGCGGGTTCCGGGGGGCCCGGTGCAGGATCTGGTAGAGAACTCGCTGGCCCAGGGTGGCCTCGCTCTGCCCCTGCGCCTCCCACGTGACCTGGGCCATGCCTGGGAGGGACTTGCCGCTGTGCCGGTCGGCTGCCCCCAGCTGCCGGATCAAGGCGCGGCTCAGGGGCCGCTGGAGGCTGTAGAGCTCGCTGAGCCGGTGGAAATGCTCCCACCAGGCCGGGGAGAAGGGCCCGTGGCGCTGCTGGAGGGCGAGCAGCACCTGGTAGAGCGCCAGGAACTTGTCCTCGCTCGGCAGTTGACGCTCTCCCACCTCGGTCCCGCTGGCGCCGGCGGCCGGCGGCCGGTCCGGCAGGTACAAGTCGACCTTCTCCCACCGGCTGTCCACGGGCACCGCCTCCTCCTGCTCCCGGGGCCTCCCGGCCCTGGGCTCATGCTGCTGGAGCCTCTGGTGCCGGGCCTGGGCTCTGCCCAGCTGCAAAGCCGGGGGCTGCGTCTTGCGCCAGGCCTCCTCGCCCTCCCTGGGCGCGGCCAGCTCCAGGCTGGACTGCCCCGGCCGGGCCACCTGCTCCCACCAGGCCCACTCCTGCCCCATCCTCTCGGCGCTGGCCTGCAGCCGGGCCCGGGCGGACGCCAGCAGCTCCTTGGCCAGGCCGGGCTCGGGGCCAGTCTGGGCCTGGAGCAGCTTCGTGGACACGGTGGCCTTGGGCAGCTGCTGCCCGGGACTGGCCAGGAGGGCGCAGAGTGACACTGCCCTGCCCAGGTCGTCATCCTCCTCTCCCAGCACCTGGGCCGCCATGGCCAGCGTGGACTCCAGCGCCACCCTGTGCTCCACGGAGGGGCACTGCCCGAGGGCTTGGAGCCGGCCCAGCAACTCGGCCGGGTCGGTGCTCTCCAGCCTGGCCGGGTCGGCCAGGGTCTCCAGCAACGGCTGAATTCTCCGCCAGACCTGCCCCTCGGCCCCCCCAGGGACCGCCCCCGGGCTGCCCCGGGCCAGCTCTTCCTGCTGCACTGCCGGGGCCTCGCACGCCCTGCCGCCCGGCACCTGCTCTGCCCCCTCGGCTAGGCCCCCCTCAGCTGGGGCCCCCTTGGCCAGGCCCCCTTCAGCCCTTTTGGCCCAGGCCCCCTCGGCCTCCTGGGCCAGGTGCGTGCCCAGCCTGGCCACCAGCTCCTGGGCAGCCGAGGAGCTGTCGGGCAGGTCCCAGAAGACGGAGCTGCTGGACTTGCCGAGGCCGCAGGAGCTGCGGTGCTGGTCCAGGGCCAGGCGGGCGGATGCCAGCAGCTCCTGCAGGGTCCTGCGGTCGTCGGCCGAGGGGGCGACGCGCAGGGTGAGCAGCTTGCAGAGGTCGTCGCGCCAGCGGGCGCTGTCGGCGCCGTACTGGCGACTGGGGTCGATGAGGAAGGGGTCGGAGGACTCGGGGCGCATGGCCTGGGCCAAGGGCTGGCTCGGCTGCCAGGACAGGGGCTCGCCCGGCTGCTGCTTCTGCAGCATCTGCCTCTTGAGTGTCTCCTGGTAGAGCTTGGTGCGCGGGTCCTGGCGCGGGCCCAGGGGAGCCTGCCTCACCCTGGGCAGCTTGACCGTGGGCACCTTGGGGGACAGGCCGCCCGGGGTACCGGTTGGGCGCTGCTGTCTCTCCGCCTCGCCGCCGGGGCCCAGCCCCTCGCCGCCGGGGCCCAGCTCCTCGCTGCCGGGGCCCAGCCCCTCGCCGCCGGGGCCCAGCTCCTCGCCGCCGGGGCCCAGCCCCTCGCCGCCGGGGCCCAGCTCCTCGCTGCCGGGGCCCAGCCCCTCGTCGCCGGGGCCCAGCTCCTCGCTGCTCGGCACCATAATGGGGGCCGTGAGCCGCTGGGCCCTGGGCTGGATCTGGGGCAGCTTGTCCTGTGGCGGGCTCTGCTTCTTCGTGCCAGGGGCATCTGTGGCTGCACCTGGGCGGGGTGGAGACA